GGCAGACACAGAAAACCTGGCAAGGAGGTTGTGTGAGTGTGTGAGTGCAGAGTGAGGGAAGCTGATAAGGACCAAGAGGAAAGAAGAAAGGCCAAGAGATAATCCGAAACAAATTGGAGCAGCCAGTATACGAATAGGATAAAGGAGAAAGAAAATGAGAAATTAATTGAGGACGTACACCAAAGTGAGAGGAAACATTTAGGTCGGAATAGCATGCAGATGCAATGGGCTATTGTTCTTGGTATTTTGTTTGGGTGTAAAGTGCTAGGCAAGCCCTCCAACATTCAGCCACACCCTTAGAACCAAGCTACTGTTATTCGAAAGGAGCTTCCCATCTTTCAGGGGTACTGCAGAAGAAAGATGTTGAAAAACCCAGTTGTCGACAGAGTGAAATGGAAAACAATACAAACCATTACTTTGGCAGCTGCTTAAGAACCATATTAGGGATGTTTTCAGATAATATTGAATGTACTGACTGCAACAACCAGTTATTAATTTTTCCCATATACAACTGAGACTTGCAAAGTTTAGGCAAGTTAAGAAGTCATGTAACTATTTTATTTTTTGTAAAATTGCTCGTTTGGGCCCTAATACCCATTCATAATTAGCAAATTTAACTACACCTATGAGTGTCAAACTGGAAGATCAGTGCATGCTATCCAGCATTCAAGTCATTTCCTTATTTGAGTGACAGACAGGAAAGTTTTTTTTTTTTTTTTTAATGTTTAAGACTAAAAATACCCTGATATCTCTAGACTTTTTCAAGGCAAGAATGACATCATTTGCTTTTCTGTCCTCAGTGCCTGAAAAGTTAAACTATGTTAATTAAAGATAAGCTTAACAATAAACAAAAGAGAAGAAGAGCCAATGCATAAAGAAGTACGCAGGGACTTGAGGAAAGCCATAAAGCACATGGAAGGTGACTGACAGCAAATTGACAACAGTATCTGTTAACTAAAGTAATATTACATAATTATAGAATGTACAGATTTCATACCAACATTTGCATTTAATTGCTTATATCTAATCTCTCAGAAAAATCTGATACGAGGTAACCAGTACTCTGGCCTATTCACCTGTAGACAAGTAAGTACAGTTTTCTGAAAGGTGTTTTGGTTTTGCTTTGTTTTGGTTTGGCTTGGTTTTGTATTTGTGTGTGTGTGTGTGTGTGTGTGTGTGTGTGTGTGTGTGTGTGTGTGTGTTGTTGTATTTTGTAGTGTGTTGGATCCTACCACTGAGCTACATCTTCAGTTATATCTGTCACTTGTTTTCAATAGACTTTTAATCATCTTAGCATTTCCAGCCCTTTGAATCCACCTTTAGAAGCCACATATTTTCCAGGGTAGGCAGAGAATCTCAGAGCTCACTGACAGGATGCAATTGTCAGGCCAACCAGGGCTGACGCCAGTATAACAGAGGCAGACCTATCAAGCATTTACAAGATATTTTAATATGCACAAAGTCTGACTACATTTTCTAAGTGAATTATGGATATTTATTTTTCTCATCACTTAGGAACCATGGCTTCTTAAAGAGGATCATCGGAAAATTCAAAATAAATTTACAAAACAAGATCTGAAGCAGATTTGAGAGCAAGGGGTGTCTCTTACTCTTTTATGTTACTATGTTGATCAGAAGTGGGTAAGGACATTGGATCCAGAACACTGGATGTTCCCTGGGACAGAAGATAACAGTGAAGCTGACATGGTTCCATTCAAGCAGTTACAGATACATCCACAACCACCTGAAGCTGCTTTTGGGTATAAACACTAAACCTTTTCTGTCTGTTGCTTTAAGGGACATTTCCTGGGCTTTGGTCTGGGGTAATTTTTCTTTTTCCTGAAGAGAGGAGGCAAAGTGCTTGTGAAATGGTGATGCTGATGATAAGAGTGTGCATGGACAGTGAGTTTCCAAGGGTTTTTGTTTTTTTTTTGCTCATAACCATCTAGAATTTTCTGTCTAGGATCTGTTACTTAGAATTTTGTCATTAAACATTTGGCTTCTTTTCTCATAAAGATGGATGTCCACTTCCTACTAAAATAAACAAGAACATTAAAAAAACATTTTATAAATATTTATTTAGACAGTTCTTCACAGATCAAAGAAGATAGAAAAGTTTGGTTCTTGTGGGGGCAAAAGGATAACAAGTTCTCTCATGTATTCAGTATTCCACAGACCGTTAAAACGTTCTTGGACAATGGCAGCAGTGAGTGCTCAGGAACGGGGAGGGGGCACCTTCATGGCAACAGTCTTTGGCAGCTACATTCCTCATCACCCTCAGTAAACATCTGCTGATGAGGCAAATGCTCTTCCAGAAAGCCTTCAGCAACATCTGGGGAAACCAGGCAGGGTAGCAAAGAACAGTTTTAGTCCCCTGGGTGCAGAGTCAAGCCAGACTCCCCAGCACATACACAAAACTGCACCCACGTCACCATCAAGGGATATCTTCCTAAAAAGAGAAGACAAGCAACTGGGTGGCCAGCATTGGTTCTATTCCTCTATTCCAAGGGCGCCATCCTTATAGCAATTTCAGAGGAAAACCGTCGATATGACCTGGTTCATATATAACAGAACTGTTTTGGATGAGTGGAATCATTATCATTTGACCAACTTAAGAATATTGTTCAACCATACTTCAAGGTGAGTTATGAAGCACAAAGTAAAAATTTTGATCTCTACATTTACTAGTTACCTACACTGATAACAGTCAGATATGTAGTCTAAGTTTGATTAAATTTCCATAGTGATTACTAACTCATCATAGTCTATTATTGTACTCTTGGAATCCTAAACATATCCATTGTTATAGATTATCTGCCATGACCTTTGGGGACTTCACTTCCAAAGATGAAAGGCTAATATATGGGGATGTGTATGCTGCCTCCATTCATTCACAAAGAAAAGTGGCTTATACTCATCCTCATGTTGGGCTACGCTGTAAGGGCTTATTCTTAGTGTCTGCCCTGGTGTCTATCTCCACAGAAAATCAAAACTATGAAGGAATGAATAAAGTTGAAAGGAAATTACAATCTCAAAGAGGCCTTATTTTTTACAGTTTTGTTTGAGAGAATTATAACTGCCTCATCTGGACCTCTTTTTATAGGATGCAGATGTGCCCTGTGGATAACATAAATGTGGATAACATGAATGGCTTCGGGAACATCAATTAAGGCTCATACCCAAGAGATCTGGAGGAAGGTGTTGTGTCCTAGGGCTTAAATTATAGATGTGGTCATTTCTATGGAAACAGATAATTATAGAAAATTATCATCCTATTACTGAATAATAAAGCCTGTTGGAATTGATTGCTAACAAAAATGTGCCACGAAAAATCGCAAGGGCTCATGTGACATCAGCGAGTACATGAACTTAAAAAATAATAGATATGTGTTCCCCTCTGCCCTTCTTAATCCTCACCACTACCCCAGTTAGAACGTGGCAATGCCTACCTATGATTTTCATATAGTTATTTGGCAGCAACACTCAGCTATTCAAGAGTTAAATGCGAGTTTCAACAAGGGAGAGAGGGAAAGATAATTCTGTTAGACTGCAGTGCTCCACTGGGTACGGTGACGCATTCCTCTAATGCCAGCACTCTGAGAGGCCTGGAAGATTGGCAGTTCCAGGGCAGCCTACGCTGTATATAGGGAGAGCCTGTCTCAAACATCTAAAGGTCAGTCATGAAGCTTAGGGGCATTGTGTTTGCCTGTCACGCACAAGGTTCTGACTTCAGTCACCAGTAACCCGCCCCCCCCCCAAAGACACACAAAAGCTTAAGAGGTGACCAGGGCATTTAAATCTCAGATAAGTGTATTTTCCAGTCCCATCTGAGTACCAGGCTCAAAGCTCTACAGAAACTAGAATGCCATGCTAGGACTCCTAGGAAGACACATAGCAAACCATCATTTCCAAGGATGACTTGGGGGAAGTTATAGGGGAGAGGTCCCTTTATTAAATACGTGCTTCACATGACTTACTGGAGAAATAATTTCGGAGTGTACTGTAGCATTCCCAAATGATTAAACCATATTATATGTACCAGGTGTGTAAATCACAGAGGAGCGCAAGTCTTCCTGTTCATTTCCTGCCTCTGGTCCCAAGACCTTGCCAAGGCCTCTGCATGGGAGCTGACCAACCCTCCGAATCTGACCTGGGAGACACAGGACTCTGGCAGGGTGTTCCCACGCTCAGGCGGGGTGAGGAGGCCGCAGTGACCCCAAGGGGCCACGCCCCGGCCTACCCTCCTCTCCTCTGGTCCGGGCTCCAGAGCGTGGGAGCGGAGACCGGAGGATGCGCACCACGACCCTGCCGGGAGCAGCTAGGGAAGCCGGTGCGGGCGCGGCGCCAATGCTCGGCCCTGGGAGCAGGGCTGCTCACTTACTTGATGTCTTCCCACACCTCGGGACCGTAATTTCGGATCACCAGCAGCTCCAGGGCATGGTTCACGAATCCGTACTGCAGGGTAGGGAAAGACTGAGGTCAGGGGCCTCCTCCTTTCTACCGCGTTGCCCACCCCGCTCCACTGGCCTCTCACTCGTCTTCTGGCTGCGCTTTCGGGGTACCCTATCCTAAAAGGGGGAGATCCGAGGGATCGTTGGATTCTCGGCTCCACCGATCCCCTCCCCCATCTTCTTACCCCTGCTCACCTGTCACCATGGTGCAACAGGGATAGCGAGGGGACCTGAGCCCAGAGTCTCCCACCTGACCCGGCCCGGAGGAAAGAAGAATCTCCAGAAGTCGGAGACTGGGGTTGCGCGGTGGCGACCCACTGTCAGAGCGCTCAGCAGATCATGTGTCCCCACCTCCCACCAAAGGCGCTGTTCCTCGCAGCCTTCCTCTCTGTGGCCCCTGGTCCTGCTCCCGCAGCGCAGTCTGCTCTCCAGTCAGTTAAGGTCCACCTAGCCCAGGTGTGAGATTCCCCCGACCATCCTGACAGCACTCACCATGGTGTCTGCGCTCGGAGCCCGAGAGACAGCCTCGGCGCAAGGGTGCCGCGGAAGAGACCCAGACAGCGACTACAGCGGTGGCGACAGCGCACCCAGACCAGCACAGAGCTGCAGCTAGAGCATCAGGCTGAGCCAGCCCTGATTGCCACCTCTTCCCAGCCAATGGTGAGTAGAGCCACGGGAGGCCGGTCGCTGTTGCTTCCCATATATCAACCAATCGGAGACAGAGGAGGGAATTCAGATGTGCTCAGAGCTACTGGGCTCCAGTCTTTTCCCGCCCTAGTTTGGTTACAAGTTCTTCCTTTGAGGCCTTAAGGAAGATGGAGCAGAGTCAGCTGCACTCATCCAAGTAGTAGATGGGGGCGTTGTGGTCCTAGTACAGTGTTCTAATCCAGAAGTCTGCTCTTTGGCTTTGTGTGTGTGTGTGTGTGTGTGTGTGTGTGTGTGTGTGTGTGTGTGTGTGTGTGTCCTCATGCTTTTTGTAGTTATGCAGATAAACATTTCCTCTGTGGCTTTACTTCACACCAGCTGGCAAACTTACAGCTAATCCTACAGAACTAAGCACATTTTTACTTTTAGCCAATAATTAAATGTACAAACCAAGGATGTTCTGCAATATGTAAGAGGTTTAACAAGTGTATTAGACTTTTTGTCACTGAGACAAAATACCTGGCATTAACCAGCTGAATTCTTTTGGGCCCCCAGTTTCAGTGGTTCATTGTCCTTGGCTACCATTGCTTTGAGGCTTGTGGGGAGGCACAGCTCCATGTTGACTAAGTAAGCGGCAGAGGCTGCTCAGTTCATGACAGAGACACACGGGTAGGCCTGGGAGAAGCTAAAGTTCCCAAGGACACACACGTGGTCTACTTCCTCCACTAGTCTCAAACTCCTAAAACTTCGGGAAGTTTTTTAAACTAATGCTAATACCTGAGAACTAAGCTTCCAGTGTCTGAGCTTCTTGGGGGATACTTCATGTGGGAACATAACTGTGAGCAGAATGTTAAACCATTTCTGTCCTTTCATGAACATCACAGGACACATTGTATTCCAACCCAGCAGTTAAGATTCCAGAAAGTTTAACTCTCTAGAATTGTCCCATATTCCTGTTCTCAAAAATAATATGAAGGGAAATGGGCTGGTACAACTATGTGGGCATTTAATTAGTCTTCCAGTCTACCGTCTAACATGCAGATGAGTTATTTAATTGTGGAAACCTTATTAGGCACAAGGAGCAAGAGTAGAGCAATTTGTGGATTTGAGGCGGCTGTTGTGGGTGCATGGTTTTCAGTCAGCACGGGGAAAGGCCCAAGAGCAGCCATCAGTCTCGGGTAGACCTGAGAACCTTGGTTGGCAATTAAATCTGTGGGAATCACCTCAATTTGGAGATGGGAAATGTCAAACCAAGAACATTCCACTGCCACCAGCGCCCTAACACAGGCTTAAGAATAGGTGATAAGGAAAAGAGACAACCAAAAGGACATCAGGCAACCCAAACGCTTCCATCAAGGATGCTATGACTGAACAAGTGAGTCTTTCCAACAATGGAACATCCAACTGTGTACAGCTATTTAAATATGAAACCATCTTTGAACTTTGAAAACTGCACATTCTACAACTAACTATGAAAAGGCATGAGGAAGATCCGATACCCAGTGATAAAGGCAGGGTAAACAAAAGCCGGGAATGAAATCATTCTCAATTAGTACCTGATTATATAGAGTGGGGAGCAGCATGAGTCAGATGAGCATGGCTGCCACACACACCATACAAACGCAATCTGCCGGGAGAAGCTTTAGAAAGCACTGACGGCATTATGGTCTGATGACTGGAGGGCCCAAACACTCAGCTTTTCTGTTGTGTGCCAGGTTCTTCCAGATCGAAACAGTCCTCCCAGGAGAGAAGGGGAGGCTCATGGGACTCTGAAGGCAAGTAAAACTGACTGAGAAAGCAGGGAAGATTGAAGAAGGCCCAGCCATAGCTTTACTGAAACAATAAATGATACAAGAGGAGCCCAATCTGACCAGGTCACCTATCTATGTAAAATATCCCTCCGATTTACTGTGACTCTTTAAAACTTTTCTTAAGGTGCAAATATTATCTTGAAATTTAAACTTTCTGTTTTGATATTAATGGTCATATAGAGTACTAATTCTAATCTTAGGCTTCATGTAGCTTCCTGTACATGATTTCAGGCTTTTTTATTATTATATCACTGCCTGAATTCCTTGGATATTAAGCATTCTCCCTGTGAGAAACATTCATGAAGGAGAATGATATTCATAGGATTCCTGTTCTTTGGCCCAACTATGAACCTCTCTAAACCTCAGTTTCCTCTTCTAAACATAGGACAATCCAGGGTATTTAATGTAACAATATTTTTAAAGAACATATAGCACTTGACATGTGGTAAACTCATCAAATATGAGCTTTATAATCCATTTAAGCAATATGAGTCTTAAAAATACACATAGTTATTGTTCACACAGGCTACATTTGAGTTAAAACAACTTGCTTAAATCTCATACCAGTATTATAGAGTGTCTATAAGCCAGATTCCTAGTCCCTTCCTTTATTCTCACTTGAGTTCAACGGATAATTGTCAGTCAACAGAATAAAATGGCCTCAGAAGTGTGTTATTACATTAATTCATGTGAAATAAAAATAGTCCCATTCTGGGTTCTGTCTTAATTCATTATCTTTCAAGTTAAATGCATTCAGTACATGGAACTGCTCTTACTTCTTTTTTCTTTGGAATTGATTACTTTCAGTTTTTATTCTTCCCAAAAGACTACCTGAAATGTCCATAAATAATACATCTTTAAGAGCAGAGTTACTCTTTAGGCATACTCCTGTGATCAGTGGTTTCTTCCATCTGAATCAAGGTAGAACTAACTTCAGGGAAGTAAGGAGTTTCTCATGTAGAAAAATGGCATAGCTGACAGAAATGAGTTGGGCAATACTGAGCCAGCACATAGTATGGGAGACAGAATAAAGCTTTCTATCCTGACAAAATGTCCACATCCTCATTTCCACAGCCCTTGGCAGGTCATTTGATTAAGAGGAAGGCGTGAAAGCAGGGCTTGTAAAATGAGGCAAGAGTTTGCACAAGATAAGAGTGGCTGAGCTCTCTCTTCCCTGTGTGTGAGAGATCCATGAACAAGCAGGTGTATTCATTACTTTTCTGTTGCTGTGACAAATATTATAATCAAGACAATTTATAGAAGTAAGAATTTATATGATTGATTGCAGTGAGAGTTCATAAGGGCCGGGGAGGCGTGACAGGAGGCAGCTGGACCAAGAAGCAGACAAATCAATCATAAACTTGCAGCAGGAAGAGTGACCTGAAAATGGGGCAAGGCTGTAAACTCAGCACAAACCTGCCCCCCGTGATGTATTTCCTCCAGCAAGAATACACTACATTATAACCTTCCCAGTCAGTGCCACCAATCAGGGAACCAATTGTTCACAAATGTGAGCCTACGGTGGATATCTCTTAAACCAGCAACACATAGGGTCAGGAAGAGGGCCCTCACCAAGAACTGAACTTGCCAGCATGGTCTTGGACTTCCAGCCTTAAGACTAGTGAGAAATAGGGTGTCTATAGATTATATGATTTTGTAGCTGCAGTCTAAGCTGGCGAAGACCAGGGTCCAGATTATATTTAAACTAAATCTGTCAATAGCAGCAGAAATTCTCCATACATGATTCTATGGTTATATTAAATTCTTGGTCTCTTGTTGGTCTTCTTGTGTTTTCCTGAGGAAAGGACCACACCAATAGAAGCTTGAGTCTACCACAGGCCATTTTTGTCATAGAGAAACAAAGTTTATTTTATTTTATTTTTAAAGTTTGTGTGTCTCTCCAGGATAATCAGAGAAGTTTTTGGTTTCTCCATGATAGTTCTACATGGCAATAGACAGAAACCAGCAGTGGCTAACTTAAACATAAAGAAACCCAAATAAAATATAACAACAACTAGAAATTATTAGCATTATTAGGTAGCTTACAAAATCATCTGGTAGACTGAAAAGACAGTGAGAGAAGCATAAACTGGATATAAATTCTACTTCTCTCAATGAAAATTGTCATAAAAATTAAAAAAAATCAGGTCAACGTGCTGTGTGGATTACAATAGGGAGTGACATTTTATGAGGAGACAGCAATATTTAATAGTTACTTTTTGACTTGGGAACTTAATAAAAAGATCTGTCTTTGTGACAGTAGGTGGATTATAGAGTCTAAAGGCTTTCTCCACCATCTTCTCAAAGCTGGAGAAACATCTTTTATCAGCATCAAAATCACTTGTCTGTTTCCTTAGAACTCATTATTTTTCTCATTACATGTGAACATTAAGAATATAGGAAAATACCTCATCCAGAATTGAGAATTAAGTTTGAACAAACACCAATAATGAAGTGAAAGGTTGGGAGAAAGGGGGCAGTCATGTGTAAGGAGTCTTTTCTAGGACAGGAAATCACCTGGGGAGACAAGGCACGTTTCCAAGATAAACCTGTGAATGAAAATGAGAATTGCCACTTGTTCTGTGTGACACTGAAAGTTTAACAGATTACATAAACATGTATAAATGCAGAAAATGAGCAATCAATTGCCTTTTCTAGATGCCGCTGCTATTATTCCTCTTCAAGTCTACAACTCAGCAATTAGCTAAGCACAGACTCTTTGCCTTTATCCCAGAGTAGCTCTACGGGTCTGGTATGGCATTGGGAGGCATATTGATCTCCTCTACTCTAGCCTCCACATATTGACCTTTGATAATCTTTATCATAACATACAGAGTCTGTGAGCGGGTAAGCAAGATAGAAAGCATCTAAGGAGGCCTGATGTCCCATGCCCCACTTAATACACTCATGCTCTAAGAAGGAGGGATATACTGAAATGGTTTCTGGGCAATACACACAGTTATGGAAATATCAACAGCCAACATGCTTGTCATCCAGTAGGTGAGTGCTCCTCCATGGTAAGAGACACTGAAATGGACTCCTGAGATCTAGAACTGATTTTATAAGCTCCTTTAGAATTTGATTTAAAAGGCAGACTTCTGTGAGCCACTCAGGTTTTCATTATGAGGTAGGTAATGGGTTTTAGGAATTGGTTGCTTTAACAGCCATACCTCTTCTGGCAATGACTTCCAAGCAAACGGATCAAATGTAAGGTAACTGTCTAATTTTCATGTAATGTTCTGTCCTTCACACTCCTGTCTTCCTCTCACTCGACATCAATAATGAAAAGTGAATATCATCCAATACACAGGGAGCTTTTGGTGAGATTCTCTTAGTTCCCTAGGTATGCTGGATCAGCTACAAGAAGATTCTACAGAGTATTTCCAGTTCTTGCATATGAGAGCCTCTTAAAGTGTGCTTGGTCACACTCCCATTCTGTATGCCAAATTCCTCCTGAAAAGAAGTTACTCTCAGTGTGCATTTAGGTAGGTGAGGCAGCCAGACTTCAAGAGCTGGTTGTCTAAAAGCAGGTTTGTTCTCCATTAAGCAGATGGAAGGGGAGGAAGGAAACCCCACAGTCCCTTCTTAAGTCATGCTGAAGCCAATGATAGGTGACAACCCTGTTTACATCTGTTAGAAAGAAATGTGTCCCTGCTTTTGCAAAGAGATAGCATTTTTTTCTGTGTGCCTCTTCAGAGATGCCCTTCCCCCCTCATTGTAAACAACTCAAGTGAATTGGAAGGAGGATACATTTTGCTCTTCACTTGGGTGTGTGTCTTCTTTCCCTGGAGCTAATGGATTCCATGCTGTGTGAAATAAGTGCACCAACTGACAGACACAAACCAGAGAGCATATAAGTTGTTTGCCTGATTTGAAAAGAAAGAACTTCTGTCTCTCTGTGTGGAGGTATAATGTTTAATATTGTATTGTATGAACATGTATGCATATATGTGAATTGTATGTGTGTATTATATATGTATATAAGTAAGACAGTATGTATATATGTATGTATATTATCTTGACTGCAGCTGGACCTAATCTGAACAAAGCCCATCAGTCTCACGATAAGGTGGACCACTGAAATAATGGGAAGTACAAAGTGTAGAACAATGTCTGGCAAAGAGTAAGCTTTCAATAAATACTTATGATGCAGACTGTATAGATCACCCTAATCATTCTCATTTCCTCCTATCATTTTACACAGTAAAGGTGGTGATTTCACTTAGTCCGAGCTTGTAGAATGTGAACAGAAAGGAAGTGTGATAACTTCAGGAATTAAGAGGGATGTTAAATACCCGATGAACAGCAATCAGCCTAGATTTTCCTCCTGCTGATTAAGATAGTCTGTAGTAGACAATATACCATGCTGCTCTGGTAAAGATGCTTTTGACCAAGTGGAATGGTCAATAGATTTAGACCATGTGTAGTTTGGTTTACCTCAAAATGATTCATGTTTTGGACACTTGGTCCTCAGTGTGGTGATGTGAGAGGTGATGGTACTCTTAAGAGGTAGAGACAAGTGGGAGATCCTTAGGGCTTGGGGATAAAGCCTTTGGAAGACAAAGGGTGCCCTTATTGAACTTGTAGCTGATTCTTAGAAAGAGTTGTTTTCAAAAGAGAAATCTTAGGGATTGGAGAGCTAAATTACCTGGGTTCAATTCCTATGAAGGTCATGTCATAGCTGCTCACAACCACTTGTAACTCCAGTCCCACAGAATCTGACACCCTTCTCTGCCCTCCCTAGGCATCAGGCACATATATGGTGTACAGACATAAATGCAGACAAAATACATAAAATTTTACAAAGATCTTCCTAACTTTTGTGTGTCCTCTTGTTCCTAAAAACATTCCATGTTCATCATGAGGCCGAAACACAGTTGGCATTGTGTTCTTTGATCTTCAGCTTTAAACTGAGCTAACTAACTTTTTCTCTTCGTTGTGTCCTCCTTGGTTGTGATGATGACAGGAACCAAGTCTTGGAACAGTTACTTTAAGTGTACCTGGAAATATAGAGGTAATTTAGAGACTGGGATTGGTGAATAAAAGAATTTGGAGGAACAGGTTAGTAGAAGCCTAGAATGTTATATACAGAGCATTCTACAAGAGTATGGTGGGGGTGTGTGAATGATGACTAGGGAAAAGATGGAACATCTTAGAGACTCATCAAGTGATCATGACAGAGTAATGACAGAAATATAGACAAGAAAGGAGAAATTGTGAGGTCTCAGATTCTGCTAGACACAGATACCTCTTGTACACTTGCAACTCAAATGAACTAGCAAAGGTGGCTGACATGTCTGGTTTCTTCTCACAGTGGGCAGCTTCAACATAAACGTTTCTCTCTGTATTGGCCCAAGGATTTGGGACCAATAGTTTGCAAAATTAGTAACAATGTACTGTATACTTGGGAATTGTGGGAAGCTGTTGTGAATAAACACTGCCTGGAACACTGCCTTAGTCACTGGCAATTACTACAATGTTTATATTATATTATATTAATAAAATATTTATAAAGGTGCAGGATCCACAACCACTGTCACCATAACTGTTCTGTGAGCTTCATTTTTTCTTCTTCTACCATGTGGATTGCCCAGCACATTGTTCTGCTCAGTTTCTATTACAGTGAAGTTTTTTGCTTTGTTTTGTTTTAGTTTATTCTGAAGTTACCTCATAATTCTTTCTACCATAGAGAAGGGCTTGGCAGCATTTCAGAGTAAACAAACATCTTAGCAGACTTTTTAGGACTTGGGCACCATGCAGACATTTTCTGCTAAGCAATTTTCTTCAAACTCCGTGAGATTCGCTTACAATTTCTTTTTCTGGCATCATGTGTTTAAAAAAATTTGAAAGCTTGAAAACACTTCTCTCTGCGGTCTTTTTAAGGAATATCTTAGATTAAGTCTTACATCTGCCATTTAAATTTTGCCTTGATTTTAACTGCTATATTTAAAACTAACACAGTAACACATCATGAAAGTAACTTAATTATGATGGCAACAAATCTGCCCTGATAATGGAAGAAATGTGGTTTTGAGATGATCACATTTTCCCTTTTACTGAAGTTTTCAAATTAAAAAAAAAATCTGTCCATTTATGAAGATTTTTCTATTTTTCTTACAGGAACATCAAATTTGAAGAACTGGACATGAACAAGTAAGTAAAGATTTAAACAGAAGTTATGTGGGCCATGTGGACTGCTCACATAGATGTGCATGTGGCTAGGAAATACAAAGATTAATAACATGCACAGTATTTGAAGTGGTCTCAGATCAAAACATCAAATGAGTCACATCATTGGTGTAATAAAAGAAACATTTAAAGGGAACACCACCATCACAAAACCAGATGCTGACTTTCTAAGAGAAGAAAACTAGATACAACAAAGACTACAAGGGACTGATTGCTTCTACGGCAAGTATGATTCTTCCCCACCTCTCTAAAAGACACAAAGACTTTCCAGGACTAGAAAAGCCTCCCAGCCAAAGGCTGTACGTTATGTTCTGACACTATAAATCATGGTTGGAAGTGACTTGTTGGTATTTTTTTTTTCATAATAAAGTGAGCTAAAGTCTCCCCAATTGTTTGCTTGTACCTGGTCCAGTGGATTGTCCTTCCCCTCATCTCTGCCCAGTAGTTTCTGTTTGGGGGAAGATTAACTGCCTTGGCAGCCCTCACAGGTACCATGTATTGGTCCCTCCACCGTTTAATTCTCTATGTCACTGTCCAACTCCCATAAAGGGTGTTATCACCAAAGGGTGTGAATAGTTGAAGTTAAATCTGTTTCACAGTTCACTGAAAAGTAGGACGTTGCAGTAGTTTAAAGCTGTGTGACTGTTCCCTGAAGGCCTGTGTGTTAAAGGTTTCTTTCCCAGCTTGGCACTCTTGGCAGGTGGTGACAATGTCAACAGATGGGGCCTAGTGGGAGATCTGTTAGCAACTGAAGGCATGCCTGAGAGGGCAGTGATTCCCTTTCCTTTCCCCTTTTTACTCTGTGTCACTTCCCAGCTGTGGCACAAGCACTTGGTTCCAACCCTGGGATTGAACAGACGTTATCACACTTGCAAGCAGCACTTCATTGACTCAGTTATTTTGTTCATTCTTCTGGCAAAATCCCCAAGGAATAACATGAACTGTTTTTCACTAAGATAGAAGCAACCGTTCAAGCAGTCACCTGTGCACACGAACATTCCTTGTCATTCACGCGTTTCCTGAAACAGTCTTTGAAAAACATACATCGTCTCTCATCCACATTCTTTAAGGCTCAGCATGCCCCTTGTCTCATGGTTCTAACACTGTTGCAGAGGCAGAAGGCAATGGCTTTTCTTTTTCTATAGTTAATGGCTCCACCTCACAAGCAGGTCTAGGGAACCTCTAAGAGAGAGTTGCTTCAGGAAAATAATTTTTGATAATATTTTTATTTAGATAAATGCCAAAATAATAGAAAAGTTACAGGAACCATACATGGAGCTTCCGTACATCTTTTACTTGGATTATATACAGTAAATCCCTCCATTTGCTCCAGGTGTACACAGGTGGCCGAGGTGAGAGGGATCGTATATCATATACACATGAGAGATCCACGGAGTTTCTTCCCACCGCTTGGGCTGGAACTCAGGACAGCATACATGCTAGGTGGTTGCTCTGCCGCTGAGCTCTATCTCCATCCCTAAAAGGCAGTGTGGAATTCTAATTAATGTACAAGCTTCTGAATCAGATTATTACTAACATAGCAACTTCCTAAATACACAGGTGATGAGAACAATGTCCTGTTTGATGCTTCTAATTGCCTGTAATTCCTATTACTTTCCTTGTAATGAATTTTAATTCCAGAAAGAAGAAATGAGTGAGTGTTTAATAAGACACTACCAACCTTTAAAGAATTCCACTGGAGTGTTTTAGTCGTACCCCTGGGAAACTAGAGCTAGGCAAGTGATGACAATTACTCCCGATGCCTGGAGACTAGTGGAGGTAGTAAAGGACTTTTAAACTGATTTTCTTTTCAAATCCTTTCATAAAAAGTCAGAACATCGATAGTTCCGCTAATACCGGTTCAAAAACCCAACTGTGCATCTGTTTTAAAGTCATATCCTTTTACCAAATTGAACACTGGGACTTAACACTGGGGAGAATATAAACTGACATCATTAGCAATAAAATCCAAGCTCCGTGGTGATGGAGTCACTCAGGAACAGAGCACTTGCCTAGCATTCACAAGCTCTGTGTTCAATCCCCAGAATCACACATCCATGTGCAATGAGAGGGGAAGAAAGGGGGCTGGAGAGGAAGGCATGGGAGGCACAAGAAATGAGTTCAGACTCCAGAAAAACGTATATAAATTCCCAAACCGAAACCACAGTAAGGTTTTCTCCATCGGTGTTCATGCTTTCTTTAGAAAATGCTATTAAGATATTTTAACTAGAATAAAAACTTCACAGATACACACCAAATAATACAAAACTTGATTCTTAACACATACTCTAAAATGGTCAGCAGAAATACTTAAGAAGCTATCAAAAAAGATTAAAATGAGTTCCATTTTCTACTTCTGAGCTAAAACAAATTTTCCCCTTGGGTTTCATGGCTCAACATGGCAGTAGAGGGTCATTTGGACATGTGTGTGTGAGAACACTTTACCACTGTGCTCTACTGCAGGCTCTCTGTATGCAAACATTGCTTTAATTGAATTAGAATATTATATTTTAACTCAGGCTGTAAGTCTTTTTATTCTGAAATGTTTGCTGTTAGTATGTTTTACATGGATTAATAGGAAGTAAATTTTCATTATTAAGTACAACAGGCTTTATTACATATAGAGTCAAAACAAAAAGGCGTTTGTTTTATGATATATTGGGTTACGGAGAATATTTTTAATGTCAAACATGAAAATATTCTTTAATAATTGCAGAACTATTTTATACTACATTTTAATCTAATGTCTAATTGCTTATTTTCTAAAAAAAAAGAAAGAAAGAAAGAAAGAAGGGGGGAAGAAAAGAAAAGAAAACAAAGAAACGGGGAAAGAAAAGAAAAGAAAACAAATACGCAAACACACACACACATACACAAAGATACAGCTGAAAAGTAGGGGCGGGCCTATTGTGTTACATACGCTGCGGTTAAATGACGAAATCTAATCAGAGGCGGAGCTGAAAGCCCAGACTCTCTTACAGAATTAAACACTGTCATTTCTACTCAGAGACTTTAAAGGCGACACTATCACAAACACACTTTAATAACCACAGCGTTGCACTGGGCACAGGCTGCAGAAGAATCCATTGCTTTATACAGTTGAACTTGACTGCAATTGCCTGGGATATGTACAATGTGCTGGATTTTGAGTGCAGGTAGTGATTGTTCTAGAACAAAACCATGTCCCCAAAAGTCACTTTTGAGGTTTGTTTGTTTCTTAAATAGAAGAAAGTTGAAGAGTTGAAGTGAATACTTTTTTTTTTTGTCATGTTAAATGGGAGACAGAGGAGACTAGGACTTTGTCCCTGAACCTTTAACACTGCTTTTCATCTTCTGTAATCCTAAAGTCATTCCAGAGATTCTGCAAGTCCTCAGAGGAGTCAAACACATAAGCATGGGCCTCACTAATCTACTCCTGACGCTTTGCCTAAGAAGTTGGCGTTCCCATCTTCCTCATCTCTCTGCTGGAACCATGGTTTAGAACTAGGCCCTTGCTGTTGATAAGCATCCAGAAAATGGCAGATTCCGGGAATGTCACTAGGGAAGTTTGGTGGAAGCTCCTCCCTTGATCTCGGGGTGAATACAAAACCAGGGCAGTCTTTGAGTAACCTGAAAAAAAATTAAAATAAAATGAAAAGTTAATGCTGACAGAAACATTTGGCAATTCAGGACAAGAAGACAACAAAAATAAACAGATATTACTACAGTAGTCATATTAGGTGTGATTGACGAAAGGATTCCCATGAGTCAATAGACAGTCTCCCCCCCCCCCCCCCCGTCCCCCCGCAACACAAAAAATGCTACAAAGAATCAAAATAATAGAAATTCTGCTTACTTACACATTTGACTCACATTGAAAGGAAAGTTAATTATACAATATTGGGGATGATGTGACTTATATAATAATGAATTCATAAACATAAAATTATAATAGCAAACATCATTTTAATGTGATTGAAAAGGGTTTCCTAAGTTAAAAATGATAAATCATGGTCCATTCACTTGCAACTGAGATGAAAACATGGGCAAGAAGTTGTGAAAAAAAAGGTAAAATGATAAAAGTGATATGAAAATTACTTTTTGAAATATTAGTGGATTTTTTAAAATTAGTTCCATAAAGGTAGGACTAAAGGGCTCTCTTGGGTGGGAGGGGCTTATTAGAGACAGGGCTTCATGCAGTCCGGTTTGACTTCCAACCTTGGACTTCTGAACCTCCTGACACCATCTTCTCAGCACTGGGATTACAGGCAGGCATGCACACCACTCTTCGTTTGTGCAGTGGTGGGGACTCACCCCAGGGCTTCAACATGCTCGGTAAGCTTGGTGTCAATGGAGGAAAGTCTCCAGCCCACAAAGGAGCTTCAGTAGCACATATTGGAACTCTACCTCCTGTTTGGTATCTATATGTATAAAGGAGCATAAATATAAGGGAACAGCAAGAGACTGACTTGGCGATAGGGAAGCTTTTATGTTTTTATAAGATTAAAGAGTACGATATTCTTGTGATCTGTAGGGATCTGGAACACTTTCTGTTACTTTAGGGTTTCCCTTAATGAGTTTATATATATATATATATATATATATATATATATATATATATATATATATATATATATATATTTAAGATAAAATAATAAAAGGTCTATGGACGTAGAATGGCTGTTTATTTTCTGGTTAAATGAGGACAGGTGATACCACAACACAGGAAACTATTGGCTCAGGTTACCAAATGCATGTGCTAGGATTGACCCTACAGCCTCATTCAACCTAGGTCAGCCCTTTACTGCCAAGCTATGTCTCTAGACCTCCTTCAACTTTGTCGTCCTTTTTTAAAATATTTATTTATTCATATTTTATGTGCATGGGTGTTTTGTCTCCATGTATGATACATTGTGTATGTGCCTGGTTCCCCTTGGGGCCAAAAGAGGGTGCTGGATCATCTGGAGTTACAAAAGGTAATAAGCTACCTTGTGGGTGCTAGTACTGAACCTGGAGTCCTCTGCATGAGCAGTAACTGCCCTTAACTGCTGAATCACCTCTCCAGACTCCTCCTTTATGTTTCCATTTTGAGACAGCGTCTAGTAAATTTCCCAGGCTAGCTTTGAACTCACTGTAGTTCAAACTAGCCTTGAACTTGATCTCATCCTGCTTCAGCCTCCTAATCAGCTGGTATTTGAGGCCTGTGCCATAGCTCACCACTCACACTAAAAGTTCCTTTTGATCTTGTCACTTGGCTTCTGCATTACAATGTCACCATTTGCTGTTGGTCCTCAAGAATACAGACTGGCAGGTTTCCTCTGCTGACCCTTTTGTCCCTATGGTTCTGAAGCAGGGGATTTACCCGTTGTTCTTGGTTGTAAAGAGTGACCCTCAAACCCTGGGAAATTTCCTGAATTACAGAGTTACTGTTTTTTGTTTTTGTTTTTGTTTTGTTGTTGTTTTAATGAACCCTTTGGGTCCCACCTGGTTTATGCTAATGAGATGGCTCAGAGTGGAGCCAGGATTCCAGAAACATCTTCCAGGTTAGTAGAGAGCTGGGGTAGCGGACTGGAAACTGTGTTTTATTAACCAAGACCCGTGAGACCGTCCATCCTCCCTCAATAAAGGAAGCAGGGAATGCAGTCATCAACCCTTGAAAGAGCAGAGCCTCCCGGTTATGACTCCACTGGTGTGGCAAGAGCCAGTAATATATCCGTCTGGATTACATGAGGAGAAGCACAGGAACTCTGCATTTGGACCCCAATCAGGCTTCACCCTATATGCCTTTTCATTTGGCTGATTCTGATTTGTATTCTTCACGAATAAGGCATCCTGGATTGCTCAGGCAATACTTACCTGAATCTGATTTAAGTCTAGAAGGCTAACTTGAAGGGGTTAGGGAAACCCTCATATTATCTGTCGGAAAGTGCTACAGTTCAAGCACTCCTAGGGTGTGATTGGTGTCTGATCTTAGTTTTTTTGAGCGCTGACTCCTATAAAATGTTGTAATTCTGTTAACTCTGGGTAGCTACTGCTGGAACTGTACTGCCCGATTCCAGTTGGTGTTAGAATACCCACTGGTATACTAAGAAGGTAAACAGACATTTTGAATGAAAAATTATGGAAGAAGATGTGATATCTGCTAAGAATTAATGCTAAAATTATCTCCCCAGGGCAGTGAAAGCCTTAAAGCACGTTAAAGTAAGAATTCTAAAAGTGATTTCATTTCATTTTCCTGTAAGATTTCCAATGCGAATAAAACAGGTGTGGGAGTCAGATAAAAAGGACAACCGCATCGAAGTGGAAACCATGCCATTAGTACCTGTATGTTGTGGGGCTGACATTGATTTTCCGTGGCACACTGCAGGACTCAAATTTGTTAGCCAGAGTGACGTTGTTTCCGAATAGGCAGTAGCGGGGCATTTTTACGCCAACAACTCCAGCAAACACTGACCCAGAATGCAGTCCAATTCGCATCTGAAAGCAAAACAGCAGTGTTCCAGGTCACTTCCCGCTTGTCAGGATTGTTTGACTGTCTTGTCTAGATGTGTCTAACCTCTGTGACTAACTCCATCACACTCTTATCTTCCAGCGAGTCACCTCTAAGGCTCATGCAAAGCTGCATTACCAGGGCAGAGTCAGCGGTAACACCTGGTAACTCTGCTCTTTGGGTGTTTGGTTTTATTTCACCTGTCTTTAACATCTGGAATAAACTTGTTCTCTGGCCTCTCAGGATCACTGCAGCAGAATAACAAAGAACCTGTGGACGTCTCACACAAAGCTGCTCTGTCCTTTAAATGAGAGAAAGACATCCTTTTTAGACTGTAGCAGGAAACTCTTGAAACAAGGACAGAGAAGGGCCACCTGTAGCTCCAGATACTCAGAAGGCTAAAGCAGGATGAACTCTGAATTCTGGAGTTTCAGCTCAGCTTGGGCAAGCTAGTCAGACTCTAATTTCAAAATAAAAAGCGATAGGATCTAAAACAAAACATTTTGCTTTACAGTAATTTTATGCCAAACACTAGTCCTTTATTTAAATGACTAGCAACTGAGGAAAAAGGAATTATAATATTGAAGTGGAAATGACAGAGGATAGAGAAAATTATAGAATGTCAGGGACCCAGATCCCTGTAGTTACAATCTATACAGTCTAGACTCAGGAACCTAAAATCCAAATCCAAATTCAAACAACATGAAACATAAGGCAATATCTAAATGGAAGACACAGCCTGGAATGGAACTTAGAAATTATGAATGGTCAGAGGAGCCTTTGGATGAAATGCTTTCTCTTTATTTTGAGCCCAAGTCTCACATAGTCCAGGCTGGCCATGAACTGGCTATATAGCAGAGGATAGTTTTGAATGATTCTCTTGCCTCCACCTCCAAATGCTGGAATTGGGATGAAATACTTTTAAATGGGCTACTCTAAAAGATGGAGGTCCTTGATGAAGTGAGAGGGTGCCCACATTCTTAACTGACTGCTACAAGCATGTAACAGATGGTAAGAATATCATATTATGCTCATCATTTTCATATTCTATATCTAGCTGGTCACTTGAAAAGTTTTATTAGCTATATATTCTCTAAAAAAAGGCCAAAGACTCGGTTATCTGATATATTGCTTGCAATTAAAGGACTCTGTATGTTTTATTTTTAAACATGCATTTATTCTTCAGGTGTGGTGGCTCCTGCCTTCAATGCCAACACTCTGGAGGTAGAGGCAGAGGCAGAGCAGAGGCAGGTAGAACTCTGTGATTTGAGACCAGTCTGATTTACATAGTGAGTGCCAGGACAACGAGGGCTATATAAAGAAATTCTGCCTCAAAAAAAAGTGTGATGGGAAGGGAGCATGGTACAGCAAGTTGTGGAGGTCAGAGCAGCTCTGTAGAGTGAGGTCTTGCCTCCTGCCTTTGCTGAGCAGAGACTTCACCAACCCTTCACAATGTCTTTACATATCTGCTGAGGCATCTTTCCAGCTCAAATTTTTCTTAATTTTACAGCTAACTTTGGGCATTTGCTAGAAATGTCCTAGAATCTTTCAAGACATCATAGCACCAATTATTCATCATTTTCAGACCAGAGCATTAGGAGAACAGCCTTCTGAAGATCTGCTTTCTATATCCTTGTTTCCCCCTGCTTATTTCTTCATCTATAAAACAGAGAGGTGCATGATTCTTAAAGCCAGAAGTCTACACTAAGAAGCAAAACTTAGCTGTCTGCTGTACCTAGGTTTTTTCATCTTTAGGATAGTATGGATTTGCACACCTCACAATTGTACAATTGAATCGGCCATAAATAGAACCTTAACACAACTGTGTTAAGGAGGAGGCTGTGTTCTCTTGGGCACAGTACCTTGCTCCAGGTTCTCTCTGTATATTGATATTAGGATTTTTTAAATGATAAGTTTACCATAACATTTTATTGTTTTAGTTCATAAATAATATGTAAGTGTATTCTCCTCACAGACATGGCCAGAGCCTCACATGTTCCTCCCACGTAGCTCTCCCTCTCTCCCCTTCCCCAGTTCTCAATCTTATATTTACCCCAAATTCAAGAACAAAAGTTAATCCATAACATAAGATGAGCAACATGTCTGAGTGGATTTCTTTCCATTGGGAAAAGTGAGTGAAATAATGAAAGGCAAAGAGAATTTTATCTCTCAGTAACTCTTTTTTTCCACTTTATTTTATTTTTCTTTATTAAGAAATTTTCTACCCACTCCTCATGCTATCCATAGACTCCCCCTCCTCCCTCCTCCCACCCCCCCAGCCAAGCCACCTCGCATCCCCACATGGGAGATCTCAGTAACTCTTGAAGGGAACCTTATAATAGGGAAGCCCTCAGTTGGAGGATTGTTTGGGCGTTCCCTATTTCATCTCCTGGGCGGCTAAGCAAGGAAGGTTCCTGATGGGGATTTTCCTCTTTCCTGACACATATTGACTTTCACTGTGAAGTCCAATCCTCAGTTCTCTACCCATAGTCCACTCACAGTTTTCCTGAGTGACTGAGGATGAATGAGGACAGCAGTGAGGAGGAGGGAGTTCATAGCTGATACCAACATGTGACTGCACTAGAGAACATTGCAGAGTTAGAAAGAAAAACAAACAAATTCAAAAACAAAGCAAAACAAAAACCACCAGGGAAATAGTTTTTACTTCTTCATGAGGAAACCAGATGAGAAGTAAGGGAAGTCTGATTGCTGCATCCAAGATTCCAAATCCAGACTCCTGGGGAACTGGGCCAGTCTTCAAATGTTGTCCCCCAAATTAAATGAGGTGATGTCTAAATCACAATGTGCATCCCTTCATACATACTGACATTTTTCTGTCTGCTAAAAACACTCCCCACTCAGCTCTGTTCAGTTCACTGTGACTCTCTAATTCCATCAAGTGTTTCACAGGACTGCCCATGAAGAGACAATGAAAGACCTATTTAATGTCTCACTTCACAGGTCACTAAGGTTAACCTGTTATTACCCTGGTAATTATCTTTAAGGCTAACTATAAATAATTCTCCAAGCCACAAAAATAAGAACAACGACATTGAGACAACTAACAAAACCCCTATAACCTCCTGATATGGATCTGACATACACAAATAATTCATGTGGCAATTGTGGCCTTATTGCCAATAATCTAGATATTTTTAATATTTATTGTGATGTTGTGAACTCTCTTACCAAAATATTAGAAAAAAAACACATGTTTCTTCTTTAAAAGTGCTAGTATAGAGACTAAATCTAACGTGCGATGCCATGAAGCTTTTAAATCACAGCTGCAAAGTATCCCATAGTCATCTGCTTCAGATTTGGGGTCTGTGCTCCCTCGCCTGAGCAGACAAGTGATTGCTCTGAACAATAGAATAGGTGGGAATACCTCTGTGGAAGGCTAAGTCCTAAAAGGCCATACAGCATCTACCAGTCATTCACAAGGATGTTTGCCACCATGGGAAAAATATGATTACTCTTAGCCCACCATGCTGGAGCATGTAGAATGTGAGTAGACAATAGCAGCCGATACCAGAATTTCTATCATCCTACCCAGCAGATGGGTAAAGCTGCTATTTTTGAATGGATCTTCCTGTTCACGCAGTACAACCCTAACTTTTCCATACATCCCCATCTACTTGGTTATTCTTAGCGAGAGTCCCAGATATTTTGCACCTAAAACTTGGCAGCCTTCTAATAACTTATTCAAACTCACGATGTACAAAATCAGTACACAACAAATGTCTGTGAATTTATACTAGTAAATGTTGGCAAGTATAGGATACAGCAATATATGAGTGAGCTGACAAATGAATTTGAAAATGTTGTGAAGGCTTAGACACATGGCTTCTCTAGGTGACAGAAGGCTAAGGCTAAACTTGTCTTTACTATAGCTTCACTTTCACGTTTTTCTTCTTTCTTGAAATTAGATACTGAAAGTTGAATGGATAGAATTCTGTTATTATTTTTAGGGTTCATCTCTGAAAAGTCATCAAGTAAAGAGTGTTAGGATTAAGTGGTAAATTTGCTATAAGACAACTCCTATGATCCATTCAGGTTTTATCTATTGAATCAACACCTGGCATTTTGTTTTTATTTTCTTTTTTGCAATAGGACATTATTCTGAATCTGTCTCCTCTAGAATTCTTACAATGTCACATGTCTAGAGAATACTGTTGGCTCCATAGTCAATATTCTTTCAGTTTTATATTTTTATTAAAACTTTATTATAAAGAACCTACAAAAAATATCCCAACCAGTGAAATTAACCATACCCAATGAACATCTAAACGAACTTCTATACAGTTAGAATAGCCTTTCCACAGCCAATTTTCTAAGATGATATCCTCTGCCATTGCTGAAAAACAAATACTTCATTTTCTAAACTACCTGGTGCTTTCTAGATGCTTATACTGGATGGATGCATTGGCTTTGGAAGGTCAACTTTCCACAGAGACTGTGTCCCTTGCACTTCCAATGGTGAGTACGGTTGTGGGAGCTTTGTGACCGTATGGCATGCTTAGCAGAGAGCCCAATTACCAGTCTCATATCTTGCAACAGTAGTGACACAAGAATTTCCATCTTGCTGGTTCAGTTTCCAGCAGGTTTCAGTCTGTCTTTCAGCAATGAGCATAAGAAGCAACTTTCTGCCTTGTATGGTTTTCTGCCAAAGCTGAAGTGATGTAGGTCTGGCATATGATACCAAACCACAGGCAAAGCACTGGTCTGCTGTAGATTTTAGGAGATTGAAAAACCAACTTGCAAATGGCATTTTCACTTATCTCAATGATCGTAAAGGCCGTGTGTAACAGCGTATGGTGATTTTTTCCCCCTCACCTAACAGATTTGAGAAGACGTTCCTCTTTAAAACCAAGCCCTGGTCGATGCACCAGGTTTTTGACAACCCACTAATACGCAACCTGTCACTGGCTTACCTTGATGGGTTCTCCGTGTGGAGACATGACCTCATTGGAGAGCTCCATCATCTTCAGGGCCATCAGTGCTATCTGGACAGCATGGGTGTCACTCTCCCTGTGCAATCCCCCTGCCACACAGTATGCATCCCCAATGGTTTCCACCTAGATAAAATACAATGTGTCCATTATAAATAAAAGCTCCAAAGGAACCTGCACAGCAGAATCATACCACAGAAACCTGAGTGCCCTGGCCCTGTGGAGAAGCTGAAACAATGTCAGAAGTTACTTTTCATTTCACAAAATGTTCAAGGTGCCGACCCCTGACCTCAGGAGAGTAAACTGAAAGACTCTATGTTCTCTGAAGACATTATCAGATGGTCTCTATTGTAGACTTACTACTAACCACACGTGATCTTTCCTAAAAAACAAACAAACAACAGCAAAAACTATATAAAATGGCTTTTATACAACAAATGGATTTGTTCTTTAGATTTTTTTAGATTTCATTTTTATTCATTATCATATATTTATTTGTGTATATGTGTGTTTGTAAGCCGTGGGGGCGGGGGCAGTGCCTACAGATGTTAGAAGAGGGCATTGGATTTCCCGGAGCTGGAGTTACAGGCTGTTATGAGATGCCCTGTGTGGGTGCTCAGAACTAAGCTCATGTCCTCTGGAAGTACAGAAAGAGTTCTTAATGTCTGAGGCATTTCTTCAGCTCATAGTTTGAAATTCTAGTAAATTTTGATAGTGGGATCAATTTCCCATCATAAAGCTACATTTCACATGAACTCACCCAATAATGTTATATGAATGCAATAAAAAAGTGTGATGTAAAACTGAGACTCTAGTAGCCATAAAAGCAAAAGAGACAGAGTTTTTCTTTTTAAAGGATTTCTGGGAATTTCAGCAATTATTAAGGGCCCTCGTGTATATTAACCACAAAGGATGGACAGAATCCAAATTGTCAAGATGGGGAGGAATAAAAACAATGGCGCTCACAAAGCTGTTGTTTAAATTTGAACTATGCTTAGCATCATTTTCATTGTTGTTTCCACAAACAACTTTGTCTATCTGTCTGTGAGTAGCTACAGAGAGCTAAGCGTTACTTTATCAATTTAAATGCATCTGTAATTCTTCTACTCCCAATGGTTGAACTTGTCCTGTCCTTACATTATGTTATTCTCATCTACAGAGTCCATTATGAATTATAAAAGTAAGATGAGAACAAAGGGAAGGAGGGACAAACATTATGAGCTACTTCAAATAATTTCTATCATCAATGGAAAAGCTACAGTAATACTTGGGATGCCTCCAGAGTAGCTCTGAACTTATCTTTGCTAAGGTATGACTCCCATCTTCTCATTGTACCTCTTTCTCATGTCACTGAAGTTCCATCATCACTCAACCACACTAAGCATAGTCTCTCTTATTCTCCATTTACCTAGAACAAACAGCAGATACCTGTTTGCTTATCATTCATGTCCTTAAAACATCATCTATTAGAAATGTCTGTGTTAAGCCTTGTGTAGAGCTAGGATCTTTTAGTATCTTCGGTTCTACTCCTTAATCAGCTCTATGTTCCTTCCCCCAGATTGGAATTTTATATATAACCACTCCTTCTTCTCCACCACCCTAGGATGTAAAGGTTCTGAATATGTCTGTTGGATTCCCTGCATCACCTGCACCCAGTAATGCATAAACATGCAACAATACCTTGCTTTTCCTCACTAATGGGATCATAAAAAACACCCATCTTAATGCAAAACACATCGTAGCATCCCAACACAACATTTAGGAGGAGCACTATTTCCCATTTGTACTGCCAGTTAGGTGCCTATTCCCTGTGCCGCTGTCACATTTTATGTCTACTAGAATAGTTAGGCATCCAACAGATCATATAGGAAGTGGATATTTGCTAGCTCTCCTCTCCTCCCTATGGTGACTGGGCCAAAAGTATTTATTGTCCACTCATGAAAGCAAATGCTGGATAATCAACAATATTATGCTAGGATAATAGCTTTCATAGTGCTAGTGCTAGAGGGTTCTCTGAAGGCTATTTGAGAAGAAAAGTAATAATTTTACCCAGCCGTGAGCTGCATTAATGGCATACCTGGCAAGATATAGACACTGATGGCATGGATGTTAAGGCAGTAACCAATCACATTAAGATGTTGGATTTAAGGCTCATTCCAAAAGACAGAACCTGTCCTTGATACTGTCAAGGGGACCAAAAACCTGTGGCTAGAGAGGTCATGGTTTGTTGGTGAAAACCTACTATTATCATGTGCTAAATGAATGTAGCATCAAAATCACTTGTAATGATATACTGCTATACCCACACATTAGTACATCTCTCAATCCTCACCGGAGAATCTTCTTGCAATAGATGGTAGTTAACATTGAGACTCACAACTGGTCAATGTGCAGAGAACAAGAAACTTTGGGATGTTCAGCCCTAAACTGGATGTTTATATCGCACCTCTCCCCTCAAGGTGGAGAATCTTCTTGGAGGAGGGGACAGAAACATTGTTAGAACAGGGCTGAAGATGACTTCAAGGAAACTGTGTTTTACACACACAGCAGAGCAGATGCACATATAAACTTGCAGTGATTTCAACAGTATGCATAAATCCTGTGAAAGCTCTACCCAGACAAAATCCCAGCATAGAGGAAGGGGGTGAGGAATGAAGTTTCAGCCCCAGCTGAGAAAGACCTTTTGGCCTTTGGTTGCTACTGGGAGAGGAAAAGTCAGTTTTCTTTAATGATGTGACCTGGTACATTCAGCACACTTCATGGCAGGCCCATTCCCAGGGGTAGTTGGCCAACACAAACTGGCCTTGGTAGGTTTTAACTGAGAGAAAGGTAACACGAAGTTGGGTAGGCAGACAGGTAGGAGGGGTTCAGCAAGGGAAATGAATATGATCAAAATATAATGTATGAAATTCTTAAAGAATTCATGAAAATGTTATAAAAATAGACCCTTCATAAGCTATTTTCAGCTATTTCCATGCAGAATCAGAAGTGAGGAAAAGGTGGAAAGGAGAGTTGGGGGAGCGATGATCGGTAGTGTGCTGTCTGCTTCCATCTGAAGCCAGTTAGTCAAGGAACTCTGTGGACGCCCTCCTTCTTGGAGGGGATATAACTCAGGAATCCTTGACCGAATCATTGCAACTAAAAGCAGGGGGTGACAAGTACCTCTGTGGCACTCACAGCTGTCTGTGTGATGGAAAAAAGATTTGCTTCTCTCAGTTCTGAGGAAGGAGCTGTTCTCCATGGAGAACATAACTAGAAATCAACAGTGAATTCCGCAAGAGGCCATCAAATGTAACTGAACCAGTGCCAATTATTTTATGTGTAATTATACTAGGTCCTCTTCCCTACTTTCCCCCCACCCCAAGAAAATCACAACTCCCTCGCAGATTTCCTGTCAAGAATTTCACAAGATGCTGCTAGCATCTCCTCAGAAACAAGGCTGGGCCTTTGAATTCCCTTAAACAATATTTGCTTCTTCCCAGCGGTTTATTTCTTTTGTGTTGGTTGGGCTGAACTCTGAAGTTACCAACTGCTGGGACAAACTAACCAGATGATTTGAGTGAGACGCAGATGAATGTTTTATTCTTACTGCCACTGTGTAAAATGAGGTAAAATAATTTAAACCAGCAAAACCTTCTCATCAAACAAAATAGGCAGAACTTGAAATTTCATTTCTCTCCACTTTCATAATATTCATTTTCAAGAAATGATGTATTTGGCATCCAGGACATGATAGTGTTATTGAATTCGCAGTATCTAGAAAGACACCTAAGTGATCACCAACACTTCTTAAAGAATCCTCGATCCTGAACCAAAACACATAACATCTACAAAATCTTCATGATGGTCCTGTTCACAAAGCAAGAAAGGTTGTGGGATGTGGTACATTATTCATGGATGTAAGTGCTGGGGAGGGCTAATGCTTTTGCTGTTTTACCATTGGGAAATGACTTGCTCTGTTCACAAAGCAAGAAAAGGAGAGGACAGGATCTGAAAGCAGGGCCTTTTAATTTGAGTATATCTGCCTTTAATGACGATGCACTAAATGTCTTAAGTGACTTTGATTTGCTGAAAATATGAAAAGTATCAAGTAAACTGTGCAATGAATTAATCTATTTTAGGACAATTTGTATAAACCTTTTGTTTCTTCATTTTTAAAGATACAAAGGATAAAGTTCCCCTTTTCTGAGTCATACCTTTAATTAGCTCTTGTTTAACTCAGTTTCCACAGTTAAGTGGCTGGTCCCTGGATGGCTAATGCCTAGTTTTTCACCAGGAGAATCATCCATTCAGCCTATTCTCTCTCTACTCTATGCTCATTTTTAGAAGACAATGTGGCAGACATCTCCGGAAACAATTGGTTCTTATTGAGTTATTTCTGGCTGGAGAACACTCACATAATTAACACACAATACCTGACCCCCAGATATAGCCTGCATGACCCAAATGCAGAGAGCTATTCATCAGCATTGCGGTTCACTCAGGTGCTCAACACTGTGCCTTCTCAAGGTGACCTCTGCCTGCTAACCCATCTTTATCCCACCTCCCCTACCTTGTAGACATCCAGTTCTCCACACTGCTGGTCAAAGCGAGTATAGAGAGCGTTGAGCATGGTGATGACCTGCAGGGGTGAACACTGAGAGCAGATGGCAGTGAACCCTACAATATCTGAGAAGAGCATGGTGACGTTACTGAACTTCTTGGCTTGCACAATTTGTCCTTGCCACAGCTGCTGAGCAACCTCACAGGGAAAGATAGAGCATAGAAGATCCACTGTCTTCTTCTTCTCCTCCTCCAGGGCTTGGTGGGCATGCTCCAGGGTGGCCTTCAGCTTCCCCAACCTCTTCTTAAGGCCATCTTGAGCCCGTGCCTGTTCCCCTATCAAGACAACATCTCTCAGGGCATTATGAATTGGAATGTCAGACAGATAGAGCCCTCGCCCTGTGAAATCTTCCAATCTGTCCACACAGGGTGATCCCAAGAACAAGATGGCACTGGATTCAACAATGTAGATCATTTGGCCTTTGAGATCCATAACCTGTAAAGCAAAGAACAAATTACAGCACATTAGTCAAGTTCCCCAAATCTTTCCGAAACAAGAGAGGGAGTGGATACCGACATAATCTGTTTTGTTTCCAATCTGATATAGAAGAATAATATGATTTTTAATCTCTTCCAGTTTTCTGTCAGTTCTAAAATTTATGCAGAAATTTAAAGAATATATCCAGAATATACTACACAGAAATTATGAGCTGCTGTGAGCAAGAGAAAAGCCTCTTGCCCTGAGACCCTATGAAACAGCACACTGGTGCTGTTGTTGCTGGATTCTTCTGATGTCCTTATGCCGTTAATCTGGAGTTACAGTTCTCACATAACGTGATGCCTATTAAAACCTCGTTTCCGTTCATCCCGCCCTTTCCCCTCATTCTTTTTCTCACTATGGTTTATTCCTTTTTTTCTTTCCTTTTTTGTCTTCCATTTTAGCAAGCTTCTCTTCTCTTCTGCCATGAGTTACTTGTTCCATCTGGCAGGAATTGAAGCTAAAATGTCTCTAAATATGTATCTGAACATTTCTTTCTTTTCTATCTCGAGATAGAGAAACATTTCTTGGAAGTGATTAATTCTCCAGGGATTTCAGCCTAAGATATCTGAGTCTTACAAGAGAAGCCATGTCTGTGTTTGAATTTTGCCTTCAGCACTTAACAAAGGTTATTCTCCAGAACATAAAAGTACAATCCAACCTATAGCCATAAATGTATCCAGAAGGCCTTACAAGAGGTAGGGCTTCAAAGGGTTCTCCTGGGCCACACAATTCACTTGTATACACATAGACAAGTACACATGTGTATTTATACTGTATCAGAGTCTAAGAAATGCAAGGGCTCATCAATGAGAGACTAGACAAATAAAATCAAGCATAACCATGCAATACAATGATCCACAGCTTCCAAAACATAGATATAGACCAATGTCCAACAACAGGGATGGATGACCAAATTCTGTCCTTCAGTGACAAAAGTAGTTTAGGGATTTGTTGTTGCTGTTATAACACGTACTAATACATCACTTCTCCTGTATTTTGACATAGTGGCCATCATTTTCATCATTATAAAATAACTAAGTATATATATATATTTGGTAAAAAAAAAAATAGCAATACAGCCATTTTCACTATGAGGAACAGTCAGTGCTTTGTAGGGGGAGTTATGCTCCTAAGGCCACTCCTTATCTATGTATATAGTCTCTCCAGGCAGTTAGTAGACATTTGTTTCTGAGATTAAATGATTATCAATGCTCTTTGCCATGAGAGTGTGCCCTCCTCTCCACACACATTCAGTGGCAATTAATCAAGCTATTTATTCATCCACATATTTATATATTGATTAAAATTCATTTACTTGCTTCTTTCAGCAAGCAGCTTTGTTCTTATGAAACAATATTTTTATTACTGAAACCAAGTGAGCAATTTGGTAATAATCAAAAGCAAATTTTCATGTGAACACTTCTAGCTTGCTTATAAAGTTCTCCATTGTGATTTTGTATTTGTTAACTTGTCTTTAAATGCCTTTACCTTTACTTTTATGTGTGTGTGTGTGTGTGTGTGTGTGTGTGTGTGTGTGTGTATGTGTGTATGTGTGTGTGTGTGTGTGTGTGTGTGTACACACGTCACAGCACATGTAGAGGTCTAGGAGCTACTTGTAGGAGTTGTGCTTTCCTACCATCCCGTAGTTCCAGAACTCATATTCAGACTCAGTGGCAAGCACCTTTACCCACTGAGCCATCTTGCCCCAAACCTTGTTTTGAGAAAAGGGGTCAATTACCGTGAGGTGGCCTTGAATTGGATATATAATCAAAGATAACCATGAATTTCTGATTCCCCTGCCACTACCTCCTGAATGATGGAGTTAGAAATATGTGGCACAAACCAGTCCAGTTTAATCAAATGCTGGTGATCAAACCCCAGGCCTTCCTACAGGTCAGACAAGCACTCTATGGATGTGAGATACACATTCACACCACCATTTGGATTGGAAGAGGCAAACTAGAGTCAATAAATAGTTGTAGTCAATGAAGTAGACAAGAAAATGAACATAGGAAGACATTTATTTGCTAAAATTACTTTAGAATTTCAGACAGCTTTGTTACCAAAATGGCATGTGCTCCTTTGTTTTGTGATTTGTCTCCCTTAAATATTAAACAACTAGTTTTATTTTGAATAGAATATCATATTTTTCTTACCCTTGATGATTTCTTCACAGAGTTATCCCATCTTCTCACTCGTATGACAAACTGCATATTCAACATTGTCATGATGCCACTAAATGTCTGGTTGATTTTGGGAGTCAGAATTTCAAAGAACTCTTCAAAGTTGGGCTTCCCTTGGAAGTCCCTCTTGTTCACCAGCCTTCTGATGCCATTGCCCAGCTGCAGGATGGCCAGGTCTCGGTCCAGCATGAAGTGGAACGGGAAGGTCTTGCAGAAGAGTGAAACAGGGATGACCAGCGAGGACTGGGGCTTTCCTGGGGACAGCGAAGGCTTGGTGCTCTTCACTTGGACAGAGTAGAGCAGATAGGGCTGATTCACAAACTCGGTGCAGTCACTTCTGAAGCAGGGAGGCATCAGAGACACCTCCACATGGCTTTCGTACAGTATGCGAGCAGCCGCTTTAATGATACCAGGGAGAAGCAGGGCTGTGGTTCTCTTGGGGAAGAAGTAGTAAACATTTAGGAAGTCAGGGTCCTTGTCCAGGCATAAGATGGAGGCATCTTCCAGTCGCCCCCTCTTCTCCGCCTCTTGGCAGTGGCTGCTCTGCTTCAGGAGCGTGCTGAAGCTGTTGAGAAAGTCCTTCAGTGTGCCGCCAACCACGCCCAGGATGTGTTCATCTTCCTCATAACAGATCTTGAACAGCTCCTCACCTAGAGAATCTTTGAGCGCCTCCACTGGGACTCCTGCAAGCACACAACATGGTAGGCTAGCAAGTGTGTCAACTCAGAATTCAGAACGAGTGGCTGTTGCTTCCAAATGCAACCCCTTGATTTGTGGTTAACTTCCTTTACTCTCTTAGGAGTTCGAACTCAAATCAAATGCTCACACTCAACTTACCAACATAGCTAAACTTTTAGAATTCTGGTGACTCTGATTAACAATCTTCAAACTGTTTATTTTAAACCAAGAATGACTAAGTGAGTAGAATGCACTATTTTTATCTTTCTTAACTATAAAACAACGAGAGCTTCAGCTTTAGGGTAAACTCCATTTCAGGCAAAGCCTGTCTGTCTTTTTCTTAACCACACAGCATGGGTCTCTTGAAGTTCCAGAGAGGCTGGAATAGTGAAAGAGTCCCATCTAGAATGAATTTAAAACATGAAACTGTTATGTCTGGAGGTGATTTCAAGATGGTTTGTTATGTGATGTTCCCTAAGTGAGTATTTGCATAAATCGTATTATTCACCTTTACCATCTTCTTCTCAGGCTTCCTTCTTGCCTCCACACACTGGGCACTACATTTTATATTATTTATTTTATTTTTGAGATTATAATATAATTACATCATTTCCTCCTTCCTTCCCTTCCCTCTAGATCCTCCCATATACTCTACCTTGCTCTCTTTCAAATTCATGACCTCTCCTTTACATTAATTGTTGTTACATGCACAAATGCATCTATATATACATATATATTTCTGAATACAACTGCTCAGTCTGTACAATGTTATTCAAATACATGTTTCAGGGCTGAGCATTTGGTATTGGATAATGAATTGGTGTGCTCTTCTCCCAGGGAGACTACAGGGAGGATTCCTCCATTGCATGTAGTTCTTTGTGGAAGGTTGAGGCCTTGTGGGCTTTTCTCCATCCAGTTTGGCAGGCCCATTGGTGATGTCCTTATTCAGCTCATGTTTTGGAAGTCATGTTGGTGAGACTGTGGAAGACCCCAAAACAGCTTGACCACACAGCAGCCATGACAGAATTAGGAGCCTAGACACAGCTTCTGCGACAGGCTTACTGGCAGGTAACACCCAGATCCAAGAAAAGTCTTAAGCTGATACCATCCAGGGATCCACCCAGGGATGAGGAAGTACCCAGCATCACAAGCATTCCAACCATTAGATAAGGTGGCCAGATGTCCTTGAGTCTAACACACACCTATTTTTTGTTTTACAGATACCCTAGACAATTGTCAGCCAATCAGGGTCCTGAACTCTGGAAATTCCCTCACACCAACCTCTGCTATGATAAAAACCCCACCCCACCTGAGCTCTGGGCTCTCTGCTCTCACCACTGTGTTGGACAGACAGAGGGACCAAGACAAGCTCTGGAGCTTGAAATAAAGGCTCTTTGCTTTTAGATGCAGGATTCAGTCTCCATGGTGGTTTTTTTGGGGGGATCCCCGAGCTCTGGGCATAACAAAACTTTATGGGTCCAGCTTCTTATATTACTAGGAGACACGATCTCACAGTAAACTCCCTGGTCCTTTGTCTTTCCATCTTTCTGCCCCCTCTTCTCCAACGTTCCCTTAGTGCTAGGGATAGTCGTGGTTTGTAAATGTGTCCATTGTGACTGGACTCCACAACTCTATGTTTTGCCTGGTTATGGTTTTCTGCAATGGTCTCCATCAGTTGCAGAGAAGCTTCATACATTTTTCTCTTGTAAAGTAGGAAACAATGCTACCCTCTTTGAGGAACGTGGGAACTATGTTTAGAACAGTGTCTATCTTCCAAGAATGGCTCAGTATAAAGTAGCTACAGTTAAGATTATATTTCATAGAAGCAGTACTTTTGTAAGCCAGTAGCCTCTCAGTTCTCACCCCATACTCTGAAAGGGCCCACCAGCAGTCACTCATCTATCTTTTTTCCTGAAGCTAATTATTAATGTGAGAACTCTGCCAGACTATTTTCCCAAGATTACGTCCAACCTTTTAAAATACTCTTTACTGTTGAGCAGAGTTTTTCATATACAAACGAGGAAGACATAGTTTGGTTTAAGACCAAAGCCTGCAAATGTGAATGCCTGTGAATCAGCTTCCCACACAGGCTTATCTACTTCTCGGCAAATAAACAATAAAAAAAAGAGGAAACGTTTGAGGTCACACAAAAACATGTAGTATAGGAAGGGTTACTCTGCATTAACACACACAGAGTTCAGAGACTTTATACTGGGAGTCAATAAGAAATAAGTACAAGGGACTGGAGAGATAGCTCAGAGTTAAGAGTACTGACTGCTCTTCCAGAGGACCAGGGGTTCAATTCCCAGCACCCACGTGGCAGCTCACAACTGTCTGTAATGCCAGTTCCAGGGGACCTGACACCATGACAAAACACCAATGCATGCAAAATAAAAACAAATAAATTTTAAAAAACCTGCAAAAATATGAATATGTTGAGAGAAATATTAGTTATTCAGGGATGTGATATGCTTCCTAATTTCATATACTTAAACAATTTTATTTACCTGCTGCAATTGCTTGTTCTGCAATTATTTTTTCAAGGTCTTCTTTTTCTGAAGATTTTCTGGAAATAATTAAGTATCTTAAATTATAAACTGATAAATGAATGCCTGAAATTCAGATTATATTCAATATACAGATAACAGCATGAGATAATTATTTTCCAGAAGCAAATCTTGACTAGCTGTGTACAAAACAAGCAGTAACCTGAACAACTCAAAACACTGGTGGCAAAACCGCAAAGTATACATAGCATGGAGTGTCTCATAATCTCTCATCAAGCGTATTTGTCTCTGTGGTTCACTTTACATAGGGCATTGAGAAAGAGAATTTACCCTGGCATGATAACCAGGAGTGGGTAAAGTCATGAAGAGGATGGCAAGCCAAAGTTAAATGGCAGAGGAACTGACTTGTATATGGAGGGCCTAGGTTCCACCCCTAGCACCAAAACAAATAAATAAAAAGATGCTAATAAATTCTCAAGGGGTTGGTCATCCAATTGAGAAAAAAATCTACCTACAATGAGCTTCACTATTGTGCTATATTGTCTTTTTCTGAAGCTAACACATGAAATATAGGAGTTCTTGCTGCTGAGATTAGGAATCTTTATAATTATCTCAGACATTATTCCTCCAGGTTTATGCCTGGTCTTATATACAAACTAGTTACAAATCTATTTTTTTTCATCCATCATTGCATTCTAGAAAAAGGAAAGCTTAAAACAATGAGAGCACATATGGGCATCAATGTGCTGAAGGAGGCTGAAATAATTTCAACTGGGCAAACTTTTTAACTGTAGAAAAAACTTTTCAAATGGCATTTTTTTAAATCTTATTTACCAGATGATTAGCTTTAAACCTATGGTTCTCGTTTGGGTTTTAGGTTCTTTTTCTGTCTGTCTGTTTGTTTGTTGTTTTTGTTGTTGTTGTTATTGTTGTTTTGTAGTCACAGGCTAAAAATCAGCATCTTCTGGGTTTTTTTTGTAGTTCCTAATTGATCATTTACATTTTTTACTTTTCTGTGCCTAAGAACAACATTTTCTTCATGATCACTGATGTTCAGCAATATAGAATGCCATCATCTTCATATATCAACTGGACAACTTTGTGAGATATGCTTGCCTAGTTGCTTTTTGAAAACTTCCAAAATAGTGACTGATTATGCCCAACTTTGCCAAACTGTTCAAGCACTTTCAGTGTATCAAAAAACCTATTTAATTGCAAGGTTCAACTTGCCATTAGCTGAGCCAAGTTTAAATGCAGGCATACTTCTCCATTTTAAACAGCCTTTTAATAAAACACGGTATAACATAAGAAGTTTTAGAGGGAAATATTTGTAAGAAGGAAAATTGCCCAGAGCAACACCTTGTTCCATAGAAATATGATCATTGTAAGTGTATAAAATACTAGGTGGAAATATTTTATCTAAATGTACTAAGGATCATAATATAACGTTATACTGAATTTGGATGTGGAGACCCACAAAACCTTTGTTAGCTAATCCACTACCATATCAAATACTTATTTTCCTTCTTCTTCTTCTTCTTTTTTTTTTTTTCATTTAAGCAGAATTTTTTTCCTAAAAAATAAGAGTGAGCCTCCTGGGTCTAATACTGCCATTGGCATTTCCTGACACTCTTGCTGTCAGATAAGAGCAGAGCCTTGCATTGTCATTCCAAAGAGCTTACAGTGACCAGTAAACTAAATATCCCTTGCTTTCCAAACACAGCAGACAGAAGGACTTGTGAGTGGCCAGTAAACCCATTCATTTCACCACACACACACACATGCACACACACACACACACACACACACACACACACACACACACACACACACACACTAGTCATGAGTTTGCCCCTCATCTAGTGAGAGAACAAGGAGGGGGCTGCAACAGTTCCCTGAGAGGTCACAGTGACTGCTTTAGTAAGAACTGGGCTCTGTCCCTTCATCCAAGGAAACTGCACTGCTTAATAGGTTATTTGTGTTTTGCTGATTTGTAAGTCCCAGAAATATGCTGCATGAAACAAGGTTGAGATGTGTTCATCTGCTGGCAGACCAAGGATAACATAAACAGTAATGTGAAGCACCCATAATCAAGTGACAGACAGAAGCGCACAGAGGATGCCCACAGATTAAAGAAAGTGGAAGGAGCCAGCACCACTCCACACACCAGCAAGCAGGAGGGAAAATCCTACTACACCAGTTGGGTCATCATCATGGAAGAAGCACAGGCATTCTCTTTTCCTTAAGAAAAGATTTCCAAATGCTGTGGGCTTCACTTTTGAGGACTCTTGTACAGGGGGCATCACAGAAAACAGATCTCCATCCAGCAGGAGGGTCATTTCAGAGCACAAAGGCCTGAGCATAAATCTCAAGCAAGCTGGCTGCCAAGGACTTGTCCAGACAGCCCCCATAGCTCAACAAGATTGACTTGCGGCTATCTTATCAGCCTGTCTGGGAATTGTGGATAGAGGCAGAGGCGCCTCTGGGATGCTTGTCAGGTCTGTCCTATAAACAAAGCTTCTGTCAGACACAGATTCACACTCTCCTGGGCAGTTCAGGACTCTTGCTTGGCTCAGTCAAGCTGCCTGGGTCAAGTCTGTCTGCAGCTATTCAGCAGGAAAATCCAACCCAGATACTCCATAGAGCAGACTGCATGCTTATAGGGAGGAAACATATGAAGGTGTTTGGATGTTTGTAGATTGTGAGCACCATCGTGTTGGCTTGCAAAACTTCAATGTTCTACTCTGCAAGTTTGCACTCAGTATTTACTATTCACAAGTTAAATACTGAGAACAGGGATAATCAGTTTATCCACAGAAGCACATGTGACCAGGTTTATTTAAACAACAATAACAAACAAACAAACCTAAGGATACAAACCAGATTCTTTAAAAAACACGATGGCCAAACTTCCATCTCTCATGAGCCTTGGAAAGTAAGTGCATTTGTTTCCAAATTTGTAATTGCTAGCATGCTTAGTTCAGTTTTTGGTATATAACAAAAATCCAGCACGAGTCAATATATTCAGTAAGAATTGATCATTTTTAACAACATCTTTGTGATGGGGGTTCATACAACTAAAGTGGTATCGCTTACCTGTTTTCTTGAATCTTATGCTTTGCCAGTGTTCTCTGAAGGGCAAGGTTCAGTCGCTCAAACTGGAAATTTAAAAAAAAAAAAATGCAACAGTTCCTTAAGGTTTCTTGTAAGGGAATGGAAACTTTCACTTGATGACAAGTGTGGTGCGTTTGCCATGATAGGAACTGATACTTCTTTCCCACGTGTTTTTCAATCCTGGGAAGAATCAGTGAGCTCAGACTATTTTGTGTTTGTTTACGTGGGAGTGCCTGGGCTGACCCCAAACAAAAAATGTCAGTTTGTAATATCAGGTCTTCTACAATGCACGAATCCATATCATCTCTTCCTCTGGGCCAAGAAGTCTCCCTGGATACACTGCCAATACTTCAACTGCAGAGCTCAAGTCAGACACATGCTGTTCCCTTCCTAAACGATATCCCCTCCATAGCTCACCAAGGACTATAGTGCTCTTTCCTACATACTCTACTCACTTTTCGGAATTCTACTCAAAAAAACTGTAGTTATCTCTGCTTCCTTTTCAGCCACTCAAATTAATCTGTCACCAGAATTGTTTATATCAAGAGTCATGGAAAGAGTCTTAACTATACTGCTTTCCAAGTTTTGAACTAATAATCCTTATCAAATACTAGTACTTTTACTCTCTTTTATTGATTTCTGAGAGTTTATAAGTTTTCATTTTCTGTGAGACATATATAAGCAATGCTCCCCCCATAAGTGGTTTTTTTAAAATCACTTTTAATGTATCTTTTTTCTACTTGATAAACAAAAAGGGGAACATTGATGAGAAGTGTTCAGTTTTGCAACCTGTATGAAAATTGCACATGTCTATGCATGGAGACCCGATCATTGATTCTTGTTTCCAGTTTACACACAGGAAAGTCAAGAACTTTCTGGATATGATCCAAGTTGGGAAATTCCTTTTGCCTTAATCTATTTATATCTCTCATAGAGTTTCCACTAGTCACAGAAGGCAATGTTGTTAAAAAAAAAAAAGTAGCAAGATCATTTTCAAAAAGGACTTTGAGTTTTAAATATGCAGATCAAGCTTAGAAAATACACAAAAAATTTATTCAAAGAAAATGTAATCACTCAAAAGAAATTCCAAGAAAATGTAAATTTATAGTGAAGAGTACATTTTTTGATGGTTCAGGAATGGAGAAAGGGACAAATCTGGGACAGGATGAAGAAAAACAGGTAGATGTGTCCAAAAGGTAGAATCTGAGCATGTCCTGTTGACTTTGTGAAAGCAAAGAGCTGAAAAAATAATAGATAAGTGACAGGTTCAGAGGGGAACAGGTCGACATATTTCATAGTAGTCTTTCACATCAAGGAAAGAGCAAGGCCCATCCACTTGTGAGCGTGTAGAGTGTAAAGGAGCATCCTAGGACGTGTCTGGGAAACTCATTTTCTCAAGAGCCTTCCACTCAGCAGTTACTCTACATCTCTAGCTATAGATACTAGCTATCTATACTAGATACAAAGCCAAGCAACCGTAGGCTTCTGAGAGTTCTCCCTTCTGAAGAAGTTATTCATGTGAAGAATGGATCATGGGGGCAACGGGTGTTGCCTCTCCTCTGTGTATGAGGTCTTGGTTTTCTTCCAGTGCTGCTACTCAAGTTTGTCTCTTATTATCTATCTCACCTAATGGAGTAGAAGCCCAGAAAGGCAAGAGAAGTCCATTTGCTCATCTCTATCAGCTGCTGGTCAGAAACTGTTGATGGACTATGAAGAAAGAAAATCTACCCAGTCCTGTCAATGGGGAATTTGTTGTTTTTCATGTGTGATTTGGAGAGGCATCTTTCTTTTGCTTTTCAATTACAAGTAGACCCTTAGGTGCACTCTTTTGCCACTTTCTAAGCTCCTTCTTTGTGTTTCTAGTCCTTCCTAGGGTCTCCAGGAGTGCCTTTGTTGGGTCCTTCCTCCTAACATGCACTGGCAGAAGTAAAGTTGATACATTTTCCCAGCACTGCTGGAGATGGTGGAATAGAAGCCTTTTTGGCCTTAAACTGGAATCAGACTTACTTTCCTTAAAAAGAAAGTATTGAATTCTTAGGGAAGCATGAGTAGATTGTTGTAGTGAACTTCTGCAGGACTCTACCTTTGTCTTATAATGGTGTTGTACCTAGTGGTTTCTTCTATGCCAGACAAGACCAGAGCTTGTGATGACCACCAGCCATCACTCACGAGAGGTTGATGTGGTGACCCACAAAATGGCCTTGGCCCCATAGTTATAGCAATGGACTAAAACAATGCAGAGATAACCAACTCTATTGTTATGGTACAGAAATTGTTAACACTCCCTAACAGAAGAACTTGGGGGAGGGATAGTGAGTCCCTCCCATAGGATTCCAGTCATTATTTTCTGCTGCCCCACCAATGTGCTTGATCCTGGGGGATGCAGGAGTCTACAAGAGGTAGAAGATTAACTAAAGAGGAGACTATTTCAGCTTTGTGAAGTCATCACTCACTTGGTGTTTAGGCTTTTGGATGATGTAGCTGTTTTTGGAGTATGTATAGTCTTGTAAGTAGCCTTAATAAGCTTATCAGTTCACAGAGCTGTACTTGGATGGAATACTTACATTGATTTACTGTCACCCTTCCCTATCTGGGGTAAATAGAACTTGTTTTACATATCCCTAGGAAAAATCAGGCAGCATTCATTGTTGTTATGAAAATGTGTAGGTTCAAACAAAATGCACAGGCTTTTCTAGACAAAGTGTTTCCCGGCAAGATCTTGTGCACGGAGTGTCTTTCTTCATGTTGTACTTCTTTTGATTTCTCAGTCTAGACACTGAGATGGTGTGTGTGTGTGTGTGTGTGTGTGTGTGTGTGTGTGTGTTTGTGTGTGTGTGTGTTTGTGTGTGTGTGTGTATGTGTGTGTAGAGGTGTTTGTCTGTATACACGTCCTACCTGTGTGTACAGATGGATTCCAGTGATCAAACACGGATATTATTCCTTTGGGTTTTGCTTTGTTTTCACATTAAAACAAGATGCCTCACTGCATTTACCAATTAAGCTTGTCTGTCTTGCAAGCAAGCCCCAAGGAGACTCCAACTCCACCTCCCTAATGCTGAGATTACAAGTGTATGTCACTATGGCTGGCTTTGTACAAGAGTTCGAGGTACTGAACTCATGCTCTCATGCTTGCATGCACAGCACTTTGCCCACTCAGCTGTCTCTCTAGAAGCTTCTTCAGTGTTCAATGCTTTTCTAAGTCAGTAATATTTTAATTCATAAAGATAAAATATAACGCTATGCGTTATTAATGAGATGTAGAGTTCTCCATCACCAGCTATCTCTTTCACTTTGAAGAAATGATCTAACTCTATATGCCTTAGTTGTTGCTTTTCAAGTAGAAATAGTAATTTTTCATTACGTGATCAAGGAAGCTCCTTTAAACACAACCATTTCACTTTTTTGAAATGAGAGTTCCTGTTGATAATTTGCTCAGGCTAATGGGTTTTCATTCCTACCATCCCCCATGAAAACATAATTGGAGAGTTAAATCTGATTATCTAAAATAAGAACTACTATGCCAAATTGAATTTTAAATATCTTTCATAAGATTATTAAAGTGACTAAAACTAAAATGCAAACATTAAATGTGCCAACTCAAAAAATAACTCATGAAAAGCAGATGTCTCTATAAAAAGACCAAGCAGATATTTGGACAGTTGATAAAGTAGAATAGATTGGTTAATACCCATGTCAAACATATTCAACATTAGGACATTTACTGCCATGAAGCAAATGATCTTAACCCTGGAAGAAGCCAATAAATAGTGTCAAGGGTATTCCTCCCTACAAGAAGTCCTATAGCTTGCAGTAGTCTGCCTGTTTCTTCCAGATTGTGAGAAGGCACACACGTGGCTTCTTTTCCAGGAGATGAGGAGAGAAAAAGAAAGTACATGGCAGAGAAAAGATCCCAGAGACTCCCAGAACTTCTGGCTAGCCAATCGCTCAAGGTATTTCCAATATCAACGTCAGTTAACAGAGGTTGGCAATCCAGCTGCTTCTCTAATACATAGAGAGCAAAGCAAAGTGATGCAAGGAATCAGGAGAACATGACAGAGGGCAGAAGAAGTAACTCTCCAGTCATCAACCCTAGGGAAATGACTAGGAATTTAGAACAATAGTCTTGAGGAAGTTTAATTTGCTGTAAGAGAATGTTGAAAATTATCCATGAGCAAAATGAGGGAGATATCAACAGAGATCATCAAAGAAAATATTGAGCACCATCCATTTGCCACCCTATACTCTGTCCTTGGGTAAAACCTCCCAGACTACAGTGAAAGTCACCTCTATGGGAAGGGCTATGTCTCCCAGTCTCAACAAAGCTGGGTATCTAATGACTAGGACTGGGAAAAAATGATTAAATATTTGCATTTCAGAAGTCATTAAGTGTAACATGCAATAAATACCATCTTTGAAATAAATATCTTCAACTTTCTGCTACCTCAATTCTACTTTCCTTGGAGATCCACTTCTGGTCTCCTGTTCCTCAGGCACCAATATCACCTCACCTCAACCTGTGTTGTTAAAGCAGCATTGTTCTCCCACTGAAAGGTGTTTGATTTGGATCATGCCATCCTGCTTCTCTAGAATTTCTAGGGCAAGAGTGGAGGATGATTTCATTCAGTGTACAGTAACACTCAGAGAAAGGTGCGATACATCTCCATTTTACAGATAAAGGAAGCTGAGGTTGAGAGATGAAGCAAACACACAGAGTTTGTCAGAGTCTAATGATGTTTTGAAAGGAATTCAAGATATGAGACTTTTGAAGATGACTCACAATTCAGAATATGGTTATTTTAAAAAGACAGTTTTCATGTGCTTCAAGGAAATTCTGTTTACCATGCCCTTAAAAGTGAGAAACCCATTTCTAGATATTTTCTTTTGAAAACCTTTTCTTTCCCAATTATGAAATACCATTATCATTGTTAAACAGAGAGCGCTTACCTCTGGGAAGATGAGCTTGCAAATACTTTCTGCTAGAGTGTGTAGGTAGACTCTGTTGCGGCTTGTCTTTCTTTGGGGAAGATTCCCTTGTGCATTCTTCTCAGGAATGTCCTGGCAGATGGGCAGAGTGGCCTGGCAACCCTCAGATCCTCCTGCCACCTCCTCTGTTGGCTCTTTAGGAACCTGACCAGGGGCCAGTAAGGAGAAAGGGCACTCCCCTGTGATCTTGAGATCCTTGAACTTCCTGCAGAACATGGTGTTCCTTGGGCTCTGGTGAGGTTTCCTGCTCACTAGCTGGTGTTGATATGGGCTGATGAATATCTGCTCCTCCTGCCAACTCAAGGACACTGGTGACCGGGTGTCTATGGGCAGCAGGAAGTCAGAACAGAACAAGGAGAGAGGTGAATTTACACGCAACAGAAAACTAGGTGCCTAAAGGAAAAGAGTCATAGAGGGGAAATTGCCAACTGAGTATCAATGAAGAGAAGCACATTGGGAAAGCACTTTAACACATGCACACTTCAGTATACTGGAGTAAAAAAGACTTGCCTAGAATGCATTAAAAATCTTTAAAATAAAATCTCATTTTCTCTAAATGTTCTTAGCATCAACTACAGATTTCCATCCATTTGTTTCTGTCTGATTTCCACAAGAATGAAACAGCCTGGTCTTTGCATCATCAATGCTAGAACTAGTATATCTCATTGTGTGCCCTGTTTAAACATCAGAATAGCACATGCCAACATTTCCCTTAAATCCTTCGATACATGTATTATTGTATATGCATGGAGAAACTATCTGGATGAGGTGAGAATGAAACTTGGGTTCAACTAGACTCTAGTTAGCTGGTATTGGGCCAAAACTTCTGGAATCTGACCCCAAGTGACTTATTTCTTACACATATAAATACAGCAAAACTCTGGGGAAAAAGTTTCCACGTGACAATTATCACAACAAAGCTTTAGGCATGGCTACATCCAAGACTCCTTTGCAAAGCTCACCTCTTTAGCTGAGCACCTGAAATCTTTTATACAGCAATAGGTTCTATCTACTGAGAAACAGTGCCAAGGACAAGGACCTAGGGAGGATGGACTTGCAGTAAGCCTGAGGATGGGTTCTCTTGACTGGGAATGAATGGGGGGATTTGAGAGCACTCAGCGAGGGCTGACTTTCAGAATAGAAAAGATTACGAAGTATTAACACAACCATTCCCAGCCTTCTGGAAGGAAAACAGGTGTCAGTTTCTTCCTTTGAAGAAAAAAAGCTGAGTGCTTAACAACTCAGGATTTTCTAGTACTATCTGTAAGCAGATAGCCCTCGTATCCTTCTAGAGACTTAGGATTAAAAAAAAATGAATATGATCACTAAAAGAAGTTTCTTACTATAAATAGTGAAACAATTTTAAAATGTTATCATAAAAAGCTTCCTCCCCCTCAAAAGCTACAAGTTCTAAGAATACATCATGGTATTTGCAGGGATCTCTGTCTAGAGCTGTAAAGGTGACTCTTAGGTAAACCAAGGAGCCATGCCAGGGGTCCACTGATATCCTGGGTGTTGCCTTCAGCATGTTTCCCTGTGCTTCTTTGTTGATGACATCATTTCACATCCTCACACAAGCCCAATCCACTTATTGCTAGTTATCTGTCACTGGAGGTTCTGTGTACATTTAAATGTGCCTTTAATCATCACAGCACCTTCTAGATACAGGTATTACCACTCCCAGAGGACTAGGAACTCAAAACTTCAGGTCATTTTCCCTTATTTGAATTGCTAGAAACATTTCACTCGGAAGTCCACCTGTTTCTCAAGCTAGCATATTTTCTGTTACTACAAATTCACTCCAGTGGGCCCAGTTCATAAACTAAGATTAGCTCAGCTTGGGAATAGGCTTGACAGGTTTGCATTAAAAATCAGTCATGATCTAAATGCCCTTGCCTCTTGGCTGGTAGTTTCTTAGTCATCTGAGGCTCAACCTTTTGTCTCGATATAAGAAATAGCTATATAGATTCAGAAGGACCTAAACATGAAAGACTTTCACCAGCTGCTTTTTTTTTTTAAATATTGTCTCAGGTCTCAGTCTTTATTTCATTACAATATAAGACAACCATTATTATCTATTGTCTTTGCTTATTAACTTCTTTTTGAAGGCTGGAATCTATGGTCAATAAGTCTTTTCTATAAAGGGCTAGAGATCCTTTCAGCTTTGCAGGCTATATGGTTTCAGTTGCAAATATTCAATTCTACTTTTGCACCACGAAGAGAGTCATAGGCCATAAACAAATGGGCATGAATGCATTCCAATAAAGCATTTGCAAATGAGGCTGTGAATGAAGGAATCTGGCCCACAGGCTTGGCTTTGCTGACTCTAAGCATCTGAGTGAATCAATGGAACTATTTGAATCCAAATGTAAGGACGGTGTTGCCTTTTCATCTTCTCTGCCCACTCCTCTTTTTAAATGAGGTAGATCCAACGTGAGTATGAATGTTTGCAAGGATAATTCAGGCATCACACTTGCTGGGCAAGCACACTACCCTTGAGCCACATCCCAGCACATGGATCAGTTTGGGTGGTGGATGTTTGCAATTCTAGGAAAGAACCTAGCAGGTCACATGTTCTGGACAAGAACTCTCCTCCTTAGCTACATCCCAGAGCAATAATCCAGTTCTGCACAACCTGAAAGTAAGTAGATTAGAAGATAATTTAAAATATACATTTATTTTTAAAATAATAATGATGACACTCTTCTATATGACTACTCAAATGAAATACCTGCAATAACAATGCCACGTTTTTTTTTCAGTTCTCTCAAAGTGTGAACATAATAACTAGAAAAGGGTACTCGAAAGCAAAAGGAAGATAATCATAAATAGGTTATGCATTGAAATCTTTCCAGAAATATACTGCTGCTTTTTACAGTCAGTTATTCATTCTAATACATACCAGAATTTTAGTGTTGGCCTTGGAGGTTTGGCAGAATAGTTTATGACACAGCCTTCCATTATACTTAATCTTTCTTCCACACTGAATTTGAACCCTGATTCCCAAGCCTAATGCTTCCTTGACTACTCAGCCTGCCTACAAATTATACATAAGCTGTCAACTGCCCTTAGAATTCTCCCTTCTTTTGAATTGCACAATGCTCCCATTTCCAGAAAATGTGCTTGGCATGATTTTTATTAACTTAAAAACAGCAATGGGAAATAAGTTGCACTTATTGAAGGTTGGCTGAGTGTTTAGTCTCATTAAATCACACATGTATAAACAAAGTAATCAGCATTCTTCATCTGTGACTGACGACATTACACTAGGAAACAGATGTACAAGGATCAGTACACTTGAAGCCTCTGTGTGTCTTGGGTTTGCCAGGAACACAACAGACATTCTTCCACTAAACTAGCGATTATTTTTATGTGTAATGTCAGCACTCACTTCAGAAATAGTGTGGTCACTTGATGAGGTCAGTATAGAGCTGGCTGGGAGGAGGGTAGATAGGCTAAGGGAAAAACAAATTAAAATAGTAAGTTTAGTGACAAGGGGCTTGGCAAACAGTGAGATAGTATGTTCTCAGAAACTTGGAGAGTTTCTTGCTAGCCTAAAAGCTGACGATTAAACAGCCCCCCAAATTACTAAATATCTCTTATTTTTCCTAGTGAGAAATTAATTTTGCCTTGGTGATAATAATGAGCCCTCCCTGGGCTTATGTCAATAACTGGGATATTTTATTGTTCAGATGAAGGCACTCTTCCTTTAAACTCTAACATTTGATCAATCATGAAAACTTTTTTTGCTGCCATCAACAGTGTCAAGTAGACCTGAGGAGAGAACTTCTTGGCCATATCTAACAACTCTTTCATAACAATAATTGAAAAGCAGATTTCAGACCTAGAGGTTCTGAGGGAAGTGCAGCTTGGGAGCTAAATCTCCACCTGTAGCTGGAGTTATCTCCAGTCCCGCCTGGGGCTAGCAGCCACTCAGACTCAAATAAACACACAGTTGCATATATTAACTTATAAACTGTATGGCAGTGCCCGGCTTCTTGCTATCTGTTCTTACATCTTAAATTAACCCATTTCTATTAATCTATACCTTGCCATGTGGCTCATGGCTTGCCAGTATCTTACATCATACTTCTTATCACAGTGGCTGGCAGCGTCTCTCTCCCTCAGCCTTTCTGTTTCCAGAATTCTCCTCTCTCTTTGTCCCACCTATACTTCCTGCCTGGCTACTGGCCAATCAGCACTTTATTTATTAACCAATCAGAGCAACACATTCACAGCATAGAGAACACCCCACAGCATCCACATGAAGAGCAAGCATCAGCCATGTCCAATGTTGATTACCACATGTAAGGCTTAGATGTGCCTGTGACTACAGCAGTATACCTGTTTAACATTGGAGCACAAAGTTGAGAGTTTTAAGACAAGCTGAAGGGAGAGGGGCTCAAAGAGTCAAACTTCAATATCAGGATAGGACACAGTTTGCATACGTCAATACAAATTGTACCTTTTTTTAAGTAAAAGGAAGGACAACAGTGAATATTTAGGTAGACGGAAAGGATAGAAGTGTTTCAACCTTCAAAACTAGGGAAATAACCCAGGTTTGCCTTAGACAGTGAGCCATTCTTCACTCAGCAGCAGGTAATGCTTAGAGAATTTCCTCTGTGATCAAAGCAAGACAAGTAGAAAAATTACGGAACATGTTCAAGTTTCCCCAGCACTGTTTTTTTTTTGTTGTTTGTTTGTTTTGTTTTTTTAAGGTGATACACTTCAGACTTCTTAGTTGGATCATTTCTCCCAGAGCGACCACTGTCTCTTGTCTACACATTTCCTGAAAGGTCAGGGCTATGGCTGAGTTCACCTTTGCTGACCACATTTATTTCCTGGGCTACAACTTTCTGGCTTTGTTGGTGATGATGATTTATTTATTTGTTTATTTTTGTTTTAACATCCCAATCAAACTCTCCCTTCTCTCCCCTCTTCCCAGTTTCTTCCCCCACCTTCCCCACTACCCCAATCTACCCCCATCCACTCTTCCTCCACTGTTTCTCTTCAGATACAAGTGGACCTCCCATGGATATCAGCCAGCCATCAAGCTGCAGAGAGACTAGGCATCTCCTCTCCTATTAAGGCTGGATGAGGCAATTCGGTAGGAAGGGTCCCAAGAGCAGGCAACAGAGTCAGAGACAGCCCCTGCTCTCACTGTTACTCAGCAACTAATGGACACAGATGCAGAGACCTACAGCCAAACATTAGGCTGAGCTTCAGGAGTCCTGCAGAAGATGGAGAGGAAGGATTGTAGGACCCAGTGGTGTCAAGGGCACCACAAGAAAATCTACAGAACTGACTAACATGGGCTCATAGGGGCTCATAGAGACTGAACTAAGAAGGGAGCCTATGTGGGACTGACCTAGAACCTCTGCATATATGTTATAGTTGTGTAACATGGTCTTTGTGTGAGACTCCTTTCAGGCTTTTGTTTCCAAGATGTGATTGAAACTTCCTTGTTAAGTCAGTCAATGATGCTTGCAGGACAAGATTCTCTTGCCCTTTAAAAAATTTGAATTCTTCATTTATTTGTTTTTCCTTTACATAATTTTGACGCACACCATCTTTAAAATTACTAGATTTCCTTCTACCTCGTTTATTCTGTTCCACAAGTATGGCTGTGTCGCTAAGCAGTCTTCAAGACCCAGTGGCCCAGTGATAGCCAAAGGCACTCTTTGTTCTCACAGAGCATATGCTTTGTAGATACTGACATCTGGGACATCAGTTCCCAGAGACAATGCTCAGTGCTATAAGAATGCAAATAAAGACCCAGCTTCGCCCATGAGCAGCTTAAAGCTCAGCCACGTGAAAATAGTGTCAGGAAAAAATAGCATGCTTGAATATTAAGATATCATGTTTAAGGGCCTGAAGTAATCCCAGACTGGCTCAAGTGGGGTGTTTAAAAAAGAGAAGATGAAAGATTACATGAACATAGGTCACCAATCAGCAGGCTTCTGTAACTAGGTAAAACAAGCAAAAATTCCACAGTACAGGAAGCAGCTGGACAGAAAGTCCGAAGTGTGAATAACTGACTGCATTTCTAGAAGATTGGTGGAGATGCATAATGGAAACTGAGTTAGAGTTGCAAAGATAATAAGACTGAGATGGGCTGAAGGCAGACTCTGAGGATGAAAGTGTTAACGAACTCCACAAGTATTTGATGGAGAAAATCCACAGGACTTGGCCAAACACCACATTCTTGGGACTATACTGTAGCCATAGCCATAGAAAGTTCTCTGTCTTCAGTGCAGTCAATATGGAAAATAATGTGTCTTCATCGACCTTGGTTATTTGATTATAATGACATTCAGAATTAGGTTTCTAGTAATATATTACTCCATGTGATACCTTTTATGAGAGTTGGGGCACTTCAGTTAATCTGACAAACATCTTTCATATTTTTAAACATAAGATAATAATCCTGACACTTGTGAGCCTGAGCCAGGAGGAGCATGAATGAATGCTAGGCTGGGTTACACAATGCAATCTGATCATCGAAGAAAATAAAACAAAAATACATTTTTAACACTCTGAAAATCCAGCTTGTTTTTGTATAATGTTCAGATAGACATTATGCAGCTCTACAATGTGAATTGGCTCAGAAAGATCTGTGGGTAGAGGAGAGTTTCCGTGTGGAGTGGAGCTCACAGGAGGTCACCCCTGATTTTATTTCTCTTACCTGAAACTGACCAGATCCCCCATTTCAAAAGCATCTTGCACACAATTTTCCTTGTTTTTTTTCCCCCATCATCTTTATACTCACAAAACCATTTCATTTAATTTCTTCCCATCAGGGCATTTATTTAAACCTCTTTTCCTTGAAATCAAAGTCTATTGTTGCTGTTGGGTGGTTTGCACTGGAATTCAGTACTTGTCCTTTAACAAAGTTTGAGAATTACCTTTTAGAATTGTTACGGTATTTATTAGGGCTCAGGAATAAGGTGATGTTTCCTCCAAAGTATTTTCTTCCCAGAAATCTTGTATTTGTAGTGTGTGCTTTTGCAGTACTCAGGCAAGTTTTGCCAGATAGAATGCATGATGCTACGTCAGAGGTGCTTCCTCCCTGGTTCATTGTGCTCCACTCCTAGTGAGGAATGCTGGCACTTGACGGCAGCTGTGGGAGAGAGAGAGTCAGTTCTCTTCAGGGATGTTTCCCCAGAGAGGCTACTCATGCTCCAGTAGCTGCTCCTGCATCCATGCGCTGGAAGTGGACTCAGTGGACTAAAGCCAGAGTATATGAAGTTGGCAGTAACCGTAATGGTGGGGATAAAGGAGAACTTTGAGAACAGGGGTGGAAAAGAGTGGATTTCATCAAAATCTTATGCACGTATGAAATTCTTAAACAATAAAAAGTCTTTGCTCTCAAAAATGTGTGACTGAAATTTTCAAGTTAGGTATAAATCAGATTTATTTACGGGCACATATTCTGCTTTTGTTTATGATTTACATAATAAAATTTGATGGAACTTTCAAAATGAAAATCAAACCTTGATTATTAAACAGTTGAACTGACTGGTTTATTAAATAAAATCAAGGTTATTTACTGGTATATTGGATTTTGATATTTATACATCATGTAATATTGATCTATTTAGTTAATTGACGATTGCATGTCTGTCATCATAACATCAACATTTTCTCTTCTTTTAAATTTTCTTCAAGTAGGAAGACCTGGGAATAGACCCTCTATGTCCTTGGCATCATATACACAAACACGCATATACATATACACACATCCACATACATACACACACACACACATACACACACATGTATATGTTCCCCATCTATGACAGTAATATTTCATATGTTGAGGGGACAAGGGGATAAGTATATGGGTTTTAAGAACACTGACAATCAGCATAAGAGGGACTTCATGATTTGGAAATTTTGATTCAAATGTAAGTAAGACAACCTAATTATGCATTGAAGTATCAAAATTAATGTCACAGTTCAGGGCTTAAGTCATAGCAACAGATGTTCCTCTGCCTGCACAAACTCTTGGGCCAAGAGTCAAACTCTAAGTCAAATCTCACCTAAACATTCTCAATCTGGAAAATAAGGCTGCTGATACTAATTAGTGTCTAAGCATGTTGTGAGGATAAACAAGCAAGAAGTGTTAAGTGCTTATCTCTATGTTCAGTAGTGATGGTCATGCTTTGTTTAGCACAACTGCTAGTTGCTGGCAGCGTGGCCCTGGAGACTTCACACTGTTATCAACCCCAGTAACTAGAGAAACGGTGATGCAGTTCAATTGTTCATGAGCCCAGACTCACCAAGTTCACTCTGACCACTCTCCTCAACTTAATGTGGAAGCACTCCTCCTACGGACTCCCTAACCAGAGCCTGGGGCATCACAAGTGCTGGGCAAGTGCTCACTCACTAGTCTACACATGCTTGGTCCTCACTTAATTCTTTTGGGTTCTATACATGGCAAGCTTTTGGCATT